CTCCTGAGTCCATGAGCCTGACTGCAACATTATGATAAACATTTTAGCGTTACCAACTACTTCCGTAACACCCATTTTCTAACAGAAATACCTTCATACAAAACAAACCTCATACTCCACGTCAAAACTTTGCGCAACAACCTTTGAGATTTGCTTTTGGGCTCAATCTGACTTGCTCGAAGTAGTCAACCTCAAAATTCCTGGCCATGGCAATGACAAGGAGGACAAAGTAGCTGGCCATACTAGGGAGCATGGTCTATTACAAATCAAGCGACAAACTGTTCCTGTTACAATGAGAATGAATTCGGAGTCTCGTCTCCAAGCCAAGAAGATCTTCCATCTTCTCAGTCTTTCTCACGTGCCAGTGGCTAAGATCCATGCTAGCATTCATCCGAGCGCATCTTAGAATCCTCTTACTTGGTTCCACCCGGGAGTTTTCACTGTATTATTTTAAGAAGACTCATGTATGCAGGGCATCATCAAGCTTTTCATTAATCCCAAGAAGTGCAGGTGTCCAACGACTTTCTGTCTTTCTTCATTGTTGTAAGATCTTAAATTTTTAATTCATCTCATAAAAGACGATCAGCTCAAAATAGTCTTATAATCTTTGGAGAAACGATCTGTGTTGTCTGAACAGACATATTTCTAGACTTGGGACAGGGCTTTCAAATGAGAAATTTCAACATCAATTAGGTCATTGATATAAAACGCACAAAGATATGGATTCGACAATTGCAGCCTACCCCAAAGTGATACCAAATTGAGGACTGCCTCATCATGCTAAAATAATTCTCGCCTAATATTGATAGCTCATAAAAAGCTATCAATGGGGATCTTCTCACAATCAGAACCTGTAGAATATTTATTAGAGCCATGTATGGCTTCTAATCAGAAACAGCCGTGAAACAAAAACAAACATATTCTCCAAATTAAGCAAAACTCACTTGGGAAACGCAGGCCCAAGTTTAGAGTTTTGTTTTTCATGTCGAGATCTTACCATAGAACAGGATTTAATTCTATAGTTGAGAGTCCTCCGGTATTGTAATATTGCTTCATTGCTGTTAAGATAGTAGAAGTAAATAGCTTTAATAGAATAGTAGAATTCTTTGGTAGAATACCAAAGAAGAGTCTTTGTTCTTCAATAATGCTCGCTGTCTGGTTTCTGTGTTGGGAGTTAATTATGTATATACGAAAGGAGTAATGAGGGCAAATATAAATATGTTATTAAAAACACTGTAATATAGCTTCAGACGAGTGGTAATTTGATAACTTGATAAAAGATAATAAATATAGTATTCATTGATTGATGCATAAATTCATTCAAAAATACATCAAAACAGCATCCTCAGGTATAAAAATCCAGAAATTGTTTATTTGTATTAATTCGTAGACCTTAAAAAAATGAAACCATCCATCATTGAAATACACACATGCTCACTTGCTATCTCGTTCCTTAAACAACCCCATTAAAATACGCAAAGAACCCGAAACATTCCAACTGAATTATTAGCCGCCAGTACCATGTTTGGGAATAGTAATGCCTACCTCGTCCATTTAAATAAAGCTCTTAAATCACTCCGTGATCACTCCAATCTCCCTTATTTTCTGCAAACTTTCCTCATCCATTTTTTTGTCGTTCTGCGCGAGATACTTGTCCATTCTTGGTTTCCACTTGGTTTTGAGGAAAATACTCAGGGAACCTTCGAAGGCTCGGAACATTTCTTGGGACTCTGCACCAGTTCTCGAGTTGTTCGATTAAGCTGGCTTCTTCTTCTTGAATTTCTGCTATTTCATCCGCAGTCGAATGGGTAGATTGATGTTTCTCGCAGAAGCATGTGTGGGTGAGTTCAAGCATATAAACTTTCAAGGCTCGTAAGAAACTTTCAGCTATCCACGAATGATCCGTGGCCTCATTGTCCAAAAGACACTCATCTCACATGCAGTTTCCCATCCGTAGTCAAAATTAATTCGCCTATTTCCCTCTTTATCTAGCCGGAACTCCACTTTTCGTTGCAGATTCATCATTCTGGTGACTAGAAGGCAACCGCCAGTTGAGCAAGTGCATGTGCAATTATCATGAACTTCCTCAACCACAAACCTTCTTAGTGCGAGAATGTGGGGCTTTTTGATGATAGAAAAGTGCTTACAAACTGCTTCTACATAGAGTCTAAGTCTTGTCCCAATATGATGAAGCAATGTGTGGCTGTATTGACCATAAACTTTGGCGAAATCAACCCTTTAGAAATGTACCACAAAATCAGAGCCACATGATCGAGTGTGAATATAATTCGAACATAATTTGTGGTATATTAGGCGCCTATCCATTAAATACACCTCATACATGGGGTATATGCATAGTCGTCATACTCATTGATATTCTTAAAACCAGCTTGGTATAGATACTCTGCGGCTTCTCGAGACAAGTATTCTGCGTGGTAAATACTCCAACTTGCCATCACCAGGCAGGGCAAGAGTGCGGGCTGGACGGAGACCCCATGATCGAGGAGAAGCCTTGTTACCTTCCAGGCAAAGGCATCAAGAATTTTACTATTTTCGAGGTAGGAAGGTATGTCTATCTGCATTTCTTGACATGCGGACATTGCAAGTTCATACAGACGTTGTCTTCTGTTCACAACACCCGCTGATACGATTTTGAGGATATCCATGTCCTCATAAGGCTCAATTCTCATCGTGAAAACAGGAGACTCGCATTCGCCTAACATACTATCATTAGCGAGAAGCATTCGAATTGAAGGCATGCATTTTGCCCTAACTGCATAGGATATTGGCGGCCTCATGTGGCGGTCCAGTTTGTTAACATCCGCTTCGGCCTTTAGTAACAATTCAATACCTAGCGGCCAAGAATCAGAAGCATGCAAAGGCGTTGTCCCATCCTCAAGGGTAAAATTTACCGCAGCAGCGTCACAAGACAGAATCTTCTCAATTCACACTTTGATCTTGTCAGTATAGCTTTGAAAACTTCCGGTACGTCAAGAGCTTTGAAACCAAATTGATTATTGTTCCAGTTAACGGTATTGGTGTACACATACCGTCTGCTTGTTTGGTTTTATAAATGAAGTGCTCAATTTTGCGTTGCGCCGACCCAAATCCATTGTCATCATAGAGATGCAAATTAGTGAGATCGATTCGAGAGCCAAGATCACAAAGAGTCTCCGCAGTATCGTAAAATTCGCTAATATCGAGTTTTTCCGGGAGGCGTGACTGGTAAAAGAAATTACGTAGTCCCTATGAGTTGTGCGCACTTAGCATAATATTTTCAGAAATAATTAATTATTTTCGTAAATGGTCTTAAAGAGACAACAATTCATATTAGGGACACTGATAAAGGGTTGAGGACTGCTCGAACATCATAAAGACCAATGAGAGTCCTTTACTCCGGAGCCGAAGCATGCAGATGGTACACGCTCTATGAAAAGGACAGGAGAAATCATACTCGTAGTATTTGCAAGCTTCAAAATTGCACTCAGCAGATTTGAATATGCTTATTACTTCCCGATATACTGTAAAAGTGGTAGATCGAGATACATACATCCCGATAGCATACTGTGAGGGGGAATTGGAAGAGAAAGCTGATTAGATCATATCGTAATATATCATTTATACAGAAAACGGATTTCACAATGGTTTTGGGGTTGAAGCTATATAGGTTCAAATGCATAATAGAAGATTAACTATTCTAGAAAGAAAAGACAAAAGCTATCCTTTTATATCTAATTACAGAAGGTCATATAATTGACTAATCAAAAACCCCTATGTATCTGGCTTATAATTCCGACTTTCTCACAATACATTGGCCAAAATACGTATATTTTTCTGAAGCCGAGGGAGGTATTTGCTTTTAAACTCGCTGCGAAGATAAGAAGATCGCCAAAGGTAACCCTTCATCAAGGACCACCACCAAATATTTGCGGCCTTCAAAGCCAATATGGCAGTTAAAGATGTGATAACATAAGAACTCACAGCAAATAATGTCAATCCACCAACTGTGATATCATTGGCGCCGGCTTTGCGTTGGTGAAACATGAGGCGAAGCTTTGTCAACTGCAAATTCAAAACTGGTTCAGGTAAGACTTTCGCTGGCATCCAATTAATCTTTCCACTGCACGTCCACGACGAAGACTTATAATTTGGTTCGTGGCCACAGAAAATTTCAAAGGATGGAGCATAATGAGGAACTACATAGCTCATATTCAGATGAGGGCTGATGGAAAAGCTACCTGCACCCCTAGTTACGGACAAGGCGATGGCCACTGAATATCTTAGTAATTCATTGTAGGGTAGAAACTTGGCTTCGACTACGACGGTTCGGTGCCCTGATTTATACCATGGAGAATCGCGTCTATGATCAGACACTTGTTGCCAGAATAAGTATGAGAGGATCGGGTAACCCGTATGAAAGATTATATCCCACTCAGATGTGTATTCTGCTCTTCGGCAAGGACAAGCATCCAATATTATGGAAGGGCGAGAAACTTTATTTCGGGGCTTTCTTTTGGGATTGAGGGACAAATTTTTGTTCTGGAATGGCTCGGGCTTTATGCAAGCTCCCTGCTGTAGTAAGACTATTTGTTCAAGTACACCTGAAAGGAACGAAGCAGTAATTTCTGCAACAATCAGACACGCGATTTAGACAGGAGACTAGTACAATACCGTATTGTCATTATTCGCCGCAACCATTGTGGTGAGGCAATCAAGCTTCTGCATAGTTTCTGTCTTGTACTGCGAGGTCGTTTGCGACAATTCGATGACATGCTCGTAGGTGTCTCTGTTCAGCATTAAAAATTGAATTTCATTGTCTAGATGATTTTGGATGACCTACACGCTGAAATTGTGAAGGGCAAGCGTAAGATTGTTCTGTAGACTATCCAACATTGCATTTGCAAGTGTCAAAGAGTCCTTGATAAAAGGATATGCAATTCGATTCGAGATAGTGTTCCTACCATGTTTTTGAAGTTCCTTGTCAAGACCTCGTAACCCGGCTTCGCATTTTTCAATCGTTTCAATAACAGAGGTAGGCAGAGTCCATTTTTCCTGCTCAAAGGGCTTTAGCTTATCTCCAAGCTGTTGTAAAATAGCATTTAGAGTCTCTGCTTTGGATTTGAACGTGATAATATCTTTGTTAAAGCTCTTGCATTGTGAACAATACTTGACTAGGCTTTGGGATACTTGGAGGCCAAGGGAAATGACTCCTACTGCACCGCTTGCTACGGAAGTGGGCCCGCAATTTTCACAACAAGTCTTTTAAATTTTCACGAGAAAAACTTTATGATACTCGACCATTGAGGAGAAATATGCAACAAAATCTACACACAAACAATGCTTTGGTGGGTGATTGATGGGGGAAACACGGAAAGCAACGGAGTGAAACCAAACGGGAAGGGCAAGAAGAAGTAAGAATTTTTAGCTGAAAAGAACTGAGCTATTGAGCAAGCAGGCAAGAGCCGGGCGCAGACCGAAACCACCCTTCCTCTTGGCTCGAAAGCATAACAGCATCTTATGGCTAAAAATGACTAGACTAAAATGCACTTTTCCGTATTGCATGGCCATTCAAAATCTTTCCAAAGTGAGTAAGTAGGACACAAAACCTTGCTATGCTTCAATCTGCGTAATGATGGAGGCGCTTATGTACCAATGACAATGATGGCAAGATGTGGGACAAGTTCAAGATTGATAAAACCATATGATGCATATGGTTATTACTCCGCCACATCAGCAAAGCTCAGAATAATGCAGTAAAACTCATAGTTCTGCAGATATACAATGATAATTGATAGACTTATCGTACGGAGAAGCCGCAGCACTTTGTGCCAACCTCTTAACACTGGTGAACAGCAACCTGACTCCAAATACTTACCAATTTCAATCGATCCTGCGCCATATCCCTGTAACACGCTATTAAGTAAATATAGTGGTCAGTGATAAAATGCACAGCCCAGAGGCTCACAGCCTTGTTTGGGTCCAAAATCAACATTCATCGAGGATAGAGATGAGGAGCCGGAGGTGGGCTCCAAGTCAGACCTGAATTATTCTCGCAGTCGTGTCTCTGATCTTGAAGTAGACAAGTACATCTCAAGTGCATCTCCACTGTGAAGCCATGTAAACATCCACAGATGGCCATGATCATCATTTGTACCGTTTGTGCGACGGTGATGTTGAGATACTGAGGTACTGAAATACACGAGTGCGACGTCAAAATCCGAGCAGGGGTAAGGTTAACCTCCAGGCTAGTCCCCGCACTAATTGCTGGGACCTGACCCCATCATCAACCCTCACCAACAAATCAAATCACCACGACTCTCCTCCAATGCCTCCAATTTCTCCAATTTCAATTCCTACAACTCCTAGAATCGTCATATATTATCAGACGCAACATCATGCCGATGGCAGATCATGTTCAATATTACCTATCATCACCCAGCCAAACATCGCGGTAACGCACGTAAACGTCGCGGCAATCCATCTCAATGATCCTCCGGGAAATATAACTCTGGTACATCTGCCATATCCTCTGTACAAACAACAATACTAACAAGTAATAGAATGATCATGTACCTCACCATGAGCGCTACGTCACCATGTGGGCAGAACTCCGCATCCTCCAAGCAACTGGAATAAAAGTAATGGGAATGCTTGGTGGGGCAGCCAAAGGTTCATTCACTCGACTCGACCAAGACGAAGCCACATTCGAACTTTACTACGTCCCTTTACGGAACCTTATCCGTGAGCGTGGCCTCGATGGTTTAGATCTCGACGTTGAGGAGGAGATGAATCTGGCTGGAATAATACGATTGATTGACCGACTAAAAGCTGATTTCGGGCGTGGATTTATCATTACGCTCGCGCCTGTGGCTGCGGCACTGATATCTGAACGGCCTGAACATAATTTGAGTGGGTTTAATTATGAGGCTTTGGAGGTTATGAGAGGAAGTAGTATTGAGTGGTATAATACGCAGTTTTATTGTGGATGGGGCGATATGAGTAAGACGGCTGGATATGATATGATGATGATGAGGGGATGGCCTGCACATAAAGTTGTGGTGGGTATGGTTACCAATCCGGGGAATGGTAATGGATGGGTACCGTTTGAGCCACTCCGAGAAGTACTTCTTAATCTGAAGTCCAGATACCCTACATTTGGTGGTGTTATGGGTTGGGAATACTTCAATTCTTTACCAGGGGATAAAGATAGACCATGGGAGTGGGCGGCTTGGATGACCAAGGTTCTGGGTAAATTACCGATATCCACACCTTCGGGGCCGAGTACGAGTACAAGTGCTGTGGCAGATAAACAGAAGCCACTTGTCAACAACAATGTAGATGATGATCTCCAGGGGGATGCTCCTTTACCTGCGGAATTTGAGTACCATTCCGAGGGACTTTGGGAAGATTAATGATACCCCGTTTCTTGCATAAAGATAGTTATAAAATTGAGTTTTTTTATTGTCGAAGTTTGCTGTTTCTTTAAGGAGAGCCAGTGGTAATGAGTTCTGGTGCACTACAAAGCCGTTTGGTGCATCCATGCTTGTACCTAGTGAAGTATATTGATATATGTGGTAAGTCACCGGAGGGAACATATCTGGATAATAGATCCAAGAGACACTGGATAATGACATGGATAACCACAGCAAATGACAGAGGAGGTGCACCCAACGTGCAAGCATAGGTACATTACGAAAAGAAAATTAATCTCAGAAGGCCCTAGTAAATATCCTGTGATACTATATCCACATCATATCGAAACATGCGAAGCCGGTCGAGGGATATATCGGGGATAGAGGTAGACAATATTCTAGCTTTCTATATACAATAATTGGTTACTTTCAAGACGAGCTGGCAGAATTACTCTCTATATCTGGAATCTTGTCAGGATCTGTCATGTTATTCTGAATCAGTAGGAGTATGGAGTAAATTGATTGATATTAGTATAATCACTTCGTGATTGGCTTTGTCATTCATGTTGTGTTACTTTATGATTCATTTTATGATTCACTCACTTTGTGATTTGGATGCAAACTCAAAGTCGTTGAAATTGTTCCCGGGATACAGTCATTCATGGGTAGGAAATTCTGCTTTATGCCTGGGTATTTATGTGGATATTTGATGGTATTATAGGATTTTTTCTTCATCTTTGGAGATGCATTGTCTACTAAGATTTTGATGGCAGGTACTAAGGATGTCTTCAAGAACGGATGAATACAGATCTATCATATGGAATCTACGCATATTCATTGTTGCTAATGAGTTGTCATGGAGAGCTCCTATTACCCATAGCGAATTTAACTAAGTGGTTAGAGATATACGATTTTTCATACGCCAGACACTTTGTAGACGGACAGAACCTACGTGCGGAATGTGAGGAATATGACGGAGAAATTGTCTGAGGTAGAGGCTGGTATCAATGTGACCTTGAGGCTTGGAGGTACTTTTGTAGGTGTCTAATTTATGCTGAGATGTGATAAGGGCAATATAATAACAAATGCGATTGTGCAGTTGTGGGAAATGGTGAAGTTACTAGAGATTTAGTAGGAGTGATGCTTAATAGGGGATATCAAGTGTGTTGTGATGAACAGGGAAGCAAAGTGTTCAGCACCAGAAACCAATTCAGCTGTAAGAACTCTCCGTGCAGCAGCAGCAAACCCGAGTTCAGTACGAACAATTGTCTAGTTTGCCTACAGAAATACATGTGAGAGTGGCACTCCACAGTACATCTAAAGTAGTCTCTCCTAACTAACCTTCATCCAAATCAGCTGCATCTAGACCACCAGCAAAGGCTATCAAGCAAAAAGATATCATCAGAAATACAAGATCAAGGATAAGATAAAGAAAATCTTGTTGGACAAAACAAAAGATTTGGAAGCTAGGATTTATGAGAAGGAATTAAAAGAAGAAAATTTGAGGGCAATTGGCTATGTAGAGTGGGAAAGATTGATAGGTTTGGCGAAAGATACAAATGTAATAGCTCTAGTAGGGAATTCATGGTATTCTAGGCCCTCAGGAAGTATATGGTAACTTGTGCTAATCGGTATTGGTTTCCTTCCAGATTGACGAGCAATATATGGCATTCAAGAATGAAGCGGAGTGGGAAAATGAGGAATACAATGATAAGGCTGATTTCGTGAGTATCGACACTGCTGGGTTGAGAATAGAGTTAGATAAACTACCAGATTGAGAGAAATAATCTTGATAAATGTGATGATGACTGGATAGGAGTTTCCTTCGCTTCTCTTCAATACAAAGTATTTTCAGCATTGGTTTTTCTTTTCCTCTTAATGTGTATTGAATATTCCGATGTCGACATGCTAGATTGTGATGAACAAATATTCATGTTCTTAGATCAATGATAGAGATGATTGAGAGCCCCCCTGTGTGCGGAGGGTTGAAAAATGAAAGTTCAACTAACGAGGTAAATCGAAACGTGAGGGCTACAGGAATAAGAATCTGTTAACGGCCTCCTTCCGTTGTTGAGAGTTTCCCGAGGTCTTGCAATACAGGTTTGTTAATGTTTATTTTTTTGATGTTTTTTTTTTTTCAATCAAACAACAATGTTCATGACGAGACAATTTATCTTACATCAACGATGGGGAATAAAACTTCCATATCGAGGAGCACAAGAGGGATAGAGAAGACAGCACTGAAAACATTACTTAGTAAGTAACTTCAATCGCATCTGGTAGCACCAAATTCGGTAACAAATCTCGTGTTGCTCCTTCCAAAACAGAACAATGTCGTTGATGCCTTTTGCTTAATTAAGCTAGCGCACCACACAACTTCATCTTTGATTTTCTTTCGACGATCTTCTTCAACTTCGATATTCTGTATCATATCTATTTCTATATCCCTATTTATATCTTCATTCACGACATAAAATCAATAAAATGGCGGCTCTATCAGTTCCTACCGTGGATCCAGTGAAGAATGAGATGTTGAACCGCTACTTGAGTATAATGGCTGAAAAGCAAGTCCCTCTTTAGTCCCAATCACAGTGTATCTGACTTATCTACCCTAGGAGGAAGGGGCTTACCAAAGGAGTTCCATCTGCGGTCCAACAAAAAGTTGTAGGAAATGATTCAATTCAACAAAATTCCGAAGAATCTGGTGAGATCTTCATTTTGATAATCATTTGTTCGAGATAGCAGTTGACCACCAACGTAGTGTCGAGCCCATTTGATCTTGAAGACGAGAACGATGCAGCAGAGCCATTGGAATCTGAAGAGACTGAAGAGACTGAAGAATCTGAAGAAATCCATGCAATGGTCCAAGAAAGTGGAGGAATTTTGACAGATTTTCCCAAGATTCAAAACTCCGATGGAACTCAAACATATTCCCAAGAACCTTGTATGCTTTTATCCTCATGATCTTTGATACACGAATAGCCACTGACTTTTTGAGCAGGTTGTAGCCTTATCGATCTAGAAGAAGACTCCGATGCAGCAGGATTTTCTGAATCTCAATTGACTCAAGAAAGTGAAGAAAGTCAAGCAGATTCTGAAGAACATTGTAGGCTTTCCATTCGAGCGACCATTTATTATTACCTAGATTACCACTGACTTTCTTGAGTAGACTTTGGTCAAGCGGATCTTGATGAAGATTATGTAGAGGCTGCGGTTTTACCAACAACATTCTCGCGCTTTTCAAGGCTTCCACAAAAATTACGCCGTCAAATTTGGCACTTCGCTCGTCCTGATGCACGTTATATTAAGATTCGGGAATCTAGATGGACCACAGGACTTTTCTCAGATGCGCCAATCCCAGCCATGCTTCACACTTATCAAGAGTCAAGGAAGGTGGCCTTGACATGGTATGACTTGTCGTTCGCTAGAGATCCCGAGATGGGTTTCTGGGACCAGCAAACCTTGAACTCGATAATGGAGAATGCACTTACTAATGAAGAACCACGCGAAGCGAGAATCTACTATGATTGGGAGCGTGATGGCCTGTTTTCACAATGTGCCCGTTGTACTGGTCATAGAATGAGTTGCCGACATGCTCCCCTGTCCTTCGACTTTCGCAGGATCAAACGGTTGGCATTCGAAGGCCCTCTTTCTATCAACCCGTTTTACAAGATTGCGTTGTGTTTTCCTGCCGTTGAAAGTATAATGCTTATCCGCGGTCGAAGCTCTATTCGTCGTAAAGCTGTCCTACCCTTCGAATTCATACCTGTAGATCAAAGATTTGAATGGGAGGGAGAAGATTTACTGGCAACATGTCTTTATACAATACAGAATACGGCTCCTGAATGTGGTGCAATTGAAACAATCCAGTCAGTCCAGAGAATGACTTTGCTTAATGTCAATCAGACAGAACTGGTTAATCAAGAGGAAAGAAGTTATTGGCCTTGCCGTTGAATTTCCTCAGGCCAGCTACAGGGTGAGTATGGACATTGGTATCTGCGGGTCTTGACATTTGTTCGTTCAACTATGGCTACATAATCGCTACATGAGAAGGTATGAAGGAAATGATTGGTACTTTAAGATGGTCAATATTAGGAAATAACTCACAAATAATTCAATATGACAAATTCATGATTTCCCGTGGATTGTGAGCTTCACACCCTTGTATTGCCCGCACGGCAATATGTCATCCCAAATTTCTAAGCAGCCCACAAATTGCCCGAAAAATACCCGATTCCGACAAATATTATCATTCAAGTTCACAAGCATCACCACGAAACAATAAAAACTTGTATAGCATTTATCCATCAGATCCAAAAATGTCAGACAACAAATTTGGCCTCTTTAACATCCACACCACTCCTTACAAAACCATTCATGGCGTTGACATTCCCGCACACATCTTAATTCCCAAATCCACCGCCTCAAATGCCCAACCCGGAACCAGAAAATACCCCGTCCTCGTCCGCTTCCACGGAGGCTATCTAGTCTCCGGGTCCGCACTCTACACCGAATGGCTTCCAGCCTGGTCGATCGACTTTGCCCTCCAAAACTCCGCAATACTAATCATGCCCGATTATAGACTTTTGCCTGAAGCAACGGGTCAGGATATCCTAGAAGATGTTAAGGATTTCTGGGCGTGGTTTGCGGGTTCCGGGAGCACTGGTTTGCTGGCTTTTCTTAAGTCGCTTGAAGCGGGTGTAGATGTGGATTTTGAAAAAGTGGCGGTTTTTGGGGAGAGTGCTGGGGGTTATTTGGCGATTAGGAGTTCGCTCCTACCACGAAATAGTTGGGGTGATGCTTTTAAAGGATGTAAAGCGGTTATTGCTGCGTATCCGATGACGTTGCTTAGGAAGGATTGGTATTCCGTTGCTAGTGTGACTAAAACTCCGTTTGGGGCGCCGCAGTTGGATGAGGGGATTTTGGACGCGCATATTGAGGGGTTTGAGAAGGGGATGGTTTAAAGTGGTGATTGGTGCGGAGCCGCCGGCGAGATGGATGTTGCGATGGTGATGGTGCAGAGGGAGGTGGACGGGGATTTTGAGAGGACGGGGGGTTGTGGTTGGAGGATGTGGTTGGGGAGTTTGATGTGGAGGGTGCGGAAGAGGGAAAGGTGCATCTTGTTTTGAAGGATGAGTGGGGCTGGTGGAGGGAAGTGGGGGAGGTGGTGAGGATAGGGGTGGGTTGGGGGGGGTGGATAATGGATGGTGGATTGTGGGATGGATGAGGGATGGTTTGTTGAGGGTTGAGTTGAGGCATGGGATAGATGGATTATATATATATAAATGAGATAAATATAGAATGCCTATAAGGGATCTGCGATTGAATTCTCGCTATCGTTCAGCCATTGCTCTGAATTCAGGAGATAATCGTAAGATCGCGCGACAAATATTACAGAAGTACTCTGTGTCCTAAACACTACATTAGCATAAAAATAATAAACTCACCACCAGAATCCACCAAGAGCTATCCTCTAAAAATATCTACATACCATCATCCTTCAAGAGAACAAATGAACGAATAAACAAATCCCCAAACCCACAAATCAAGACCCAAGAACAAACATATCGGCTATCCTATCTGCAACTTATAGAACCTTTACACAGACAGAACACAATCAACTACCCACCTACAAACAACCCACCTCATCAAAGACCGAAAATTCGGACGAAAGAAGAGATGCAACAACAACGAAAGAAATCTATCTCCTCCTCAATATCCCCTTTTGATTGGTACACTTAAAGTCAATAAATAACCCGGGATATTCAGTCTCTCCGTTTCTCCGCCGTGATTACTATAGGTAAAGTTATTATATCATATCTATTGTGGTTTCAAATGCTTTCAAATGTTTTCTTACTTATCACATAAAGTTATATGGGATTGTACACTTGACCTGCAGAAAGCGACTGACTGATTATACGGAGTATAGAGTAAAGTTCACTCTAGTTCGGATATATATATATATATATGCGAACACAAGGAGTAATAAGCGACGAGATGAGATGAGTCTCATCATGAAATGAATAAAAGATTCAGGAAATCCGAAATCACGGATTTAATTAGATGTGCAACAAATGGTTTGTCTCGGACACGGGGTTACTCTTTTTTTTTTGCTTGGCACCGGTGGTGTATGGGTTTTTGGAAAGACGTTATGTATTGTGAATTACTTTATAGATAGGTTTTAGACTAAAGTTTTAGTGCTCTGATGTTGAGATTTACTATTTAGAGGATTTTGCTAGACTTTAGATCCGAGATCCCCGGATGCTTGGATGTATGATAAATATCTAGTTGCTTTCTCTCCGGGCGTATATCTGCCCGATTATATTGGTAGCGCGGAGAGAAATGTGCTTGGCTTCTTGAAGTCGGATATTGAGGAGTTTTAGCAAGCTCCTCGATCACGTGAGTACCTAGACAACTGGCTGTAAACTACACTAGTGCATCTAACCGCTGACTATGTTGACTTCGTCCGAAATTTCGGGGTTTCAGCAGTGTGCAAGTAAAGTCGCCATACAACTTCTTGCATTGCAAACCTCATGCTTTACCTCAAGTGATTATCCATATGCTCTATATTTTATATAGATGTCATTCCATAGCCACCCCGCAATTCTATGGCTAGCCCCACAGATCTGGATGCACCAGCTCTTAAAGAATACTTTACGGCATTGCGGCGGAGCTGCGGGATTTTCGAGATGTGCAACATTTTGTAGATGAGGAGTGTGCGGACGAATAAGTCATTTGTATATCCGCTAGGGTAGAAGAGAATGTGCTATGAGAGAAAAATGCGGCTCCGCGGATGAATCCAATGACCGGCGGGATGGTTAGTGATGCAGCCATTCAGAGCGAAATGAGGTTAGCACTTGTGAGAACCGGTAATTAGTCTTTCTGCGCGGAGAAGAACTTCTGAAGGGGACAGACAAATATCAGAAAAGCATCGACAAACCTCGGAGCAAAAAACCATCCCCGAATATTATTACAACTTCGGACTTATATAGATATGCAACAAATTATTTTCATCTTGTTGCAATCCAATAAAAATACAAATTTAACCCCGATATTTCGTGATGTTTCGGGGACCCATCAGTTTGGTTTTCCGAAAGAGGAAAAAGAAGACCGATGTAGTATTGCGGTCTCCGATGTATCATTTTCCGTTCTCCGGAGTTGCATTGTAGAGCGAAAATTTGGACCATTGGTCTCCGAACCAGATGTGAGAAGTGTTTTCCACCGTTTCGGAGTTTGTATAGATGTGCAACAAGAAGATTGAAGGATTGAGGAGGATGGTGGTCGTCCAATGGGGTTGCTAAAGAGATTACTGATGAAGTACGGTTCGGAGCTTGTGTTGATAATGGTGGAGATTGGAATAAGCGAGCACCGAGTTGCTTTGAGATACAGTACACACGGAGTATTGTAAGCAGTGTGCGTTACGGGTGTTACATAAGGAGCGGTTAAATTGATTAGACCAAGTCAATCATATTAGACAACAATAATGAGAAGTACAGTAGTAAAATAAAACAAAATTGATGTCGGACAATACTAATACTGGAAGTAACGGATCTCGGAGTTTAAACAGATATGCAACAATTCCTTTCTGGTACTGGATGATTGGATGAGTTTGATTATTTGCGGTGTTTTTGCTCATGAATGTATGTTTTGGTGAAGGTTGGAAGTCAATCTCATCGCTAGGAAGAAAGTCATCGCGGATATTACTGAAACCTCGCGCATCTTCAGCCATCACGGATTTTCTGTTCATGCACCCCAGCACTTTGGGTCTGTAGATCAGCGCAAAATACCCTGTGCGGAGGAAAAAGTGCTGGCACTACAGCGTACCACAGGGGTTTCACAAACTAATACCAATAGTTAGGTACAGGCTAAATTACTCAATGTCCAATATTCAAGATTGGTTCAACTCGGATATCATAGGTTTGCAACAAAAGGTTTGGGGGATTTGAGTTTCTCCAATCATGTTTGTCGTATATTTTCAACGCCGATGGGATTAGAACGAGCGCCGGGTCGTTCGATATGCCGATAGCATGGAATTGTAGATTATGGATTTCGGAGGTAGAGACGTGGATTTTCATGGAATTGGTCAGGTGCCAAGTAGAAGTTCACCCAAAACAATGTATTCTTCGCCGACGCTTTGAAATTCGGCGATATTAGATGTGCAACATTTGATAGATTTCGGTGCTTAGAGTAGACTATCGCCGTTGATATTGTGGTTGTGGTGGTGAGGATGGATTGGCGAGATGAAGGAGCCGATGAATTTTCGGAGTTACTGCAACACTCATTCTCTTTGTCGGCTCAACAAGTTCCAAATATTCTTGACAATTAGACATCCTGATCTTCGGATTTTTCGGATTTTTTTGAAGATACGCAACAAAAGAATCAGAACATGTTTAGATTTTAGCAATTTGGAATATGGATTAGATGTTGCCCGTCAACGGAAACATTCTTCCGTTGCGAAATTTACGAGTTTCACGGGATACGTTCAGAGTACTTTTGCCAGTCTTACATTCTATTCGACTCTCAATTTAATATCCAGTGGAATACAAAATGTGGAAATTGAAACGATGGGACCAAATGAGCAAGGAAATGGATCCTGCCACTCCACGCAGCCTATGCGGATATTGATTGATGTTTGTCAAATTCCGAAGCCATTTCATCCTCAATACCAAAATCCACGGAGTTTACACACACAACACCACTTCCTCTACAATGAAATGGCGCGAATTGCGGAAATTCGTAGTCGGACTCGGAATTCTCATTTTTATGATATGCAACAAAACTTCCTCTAGACATAATCCTAATCCTATAGGTGCATTTTCCATCAGTGGCCTAGAATCCCTCTTCCTAAAATTCCGAAATCCCGTTCCACTGTCATCCAACAACTCCACCAACACGGTACTCCGAGAACAAACATCCATCCTCCTCCTCGTCCAGGAGTTATTCCGACACATTCTGATGGATGCTGCGGAATGTGGCGGTTTTAAGATGTGCAACAAAAGGTTTGTGCTCGGAAGGAGTTTCATAATACCAAGTGTGGGTTTACATTGGATTCGAGGCTGGGGTTGCCACGATGTTTTGTCCAAGAGCAAGTTTTGCGTTGTTTCGCCACCAGCACCAGCACCAGCTAAATTTTATCTGCTGATATTTCGCCTGATCTTTGACAACAACCTTCATAGATTTTCCGCAGAGCTTTTTCGGCAGATATTCACGGAATCGAGAAAATTGTAGATACGCAACAAATATCATATTTGATTGTTTGAGTGCTGTTTATAGGTGGATTTGTTTCCTGCGTTGAAGGTATAACCTTACACTTTTTCCGAGATTGGAGAATGAAGGGGTTTGTTTTTGCTATATTCCGCTTGTCACGGAATTTCCACCACAACGCCGTTGCTGGCATGGTATGGCATTCAACAATTTTTCGTGAATTTTCTCCGGAATACAAAGATTACGATGCGGAACAGATCATCTTTTCATTTCTGTAACTATTTCTAGATTACTCAATCCATTCTCCCGTCAAAGCGACAGCATCATCGATATCCATCCATTCTGTGCACTTCTTGGCTCCCGCCTCATTCCGAAATTTACAAGTCCAAGTTCACCACACGCGCCACAGCAAAGAAATTGACGGAAATACAGTTCAATTTTACGATAAGCAACAAAAAAAAGGCATTTTCTTTATACTTTCGGTTTCGCCGCTAGGTCGGTTTCATGAAAATGTTTCGAATGGTGGTAAGATCTTACCGAATTTTTATCTTTGTCGGTCCTAGACAATGGGATTTGTTGAAAGATGCCCATTATGGTATTTTGTCGGAATCCGGAAATATTAGATATGCAACATTTGCTCTTCCTAATATTGGTTCCAGCATTTTTGTCTCCTTTTTGTTTGGATCGGCGAGATTAGCCTTTGAAGATTGGGGGTCTGTGTTTTGGTATGACTTGTGATATCTTGCGGTCATTTCCGATATGTGTGGTTCTTTGTGAAAGTGGTGTATACTACTGGCATACAATCAGGAAATGATTACCAGTTGCTATTCAGAGTCATGCAGCTCAGGGCTTTCTTGTCCAGGATATTTTCTTCCAAAAACCCGACCTATCACTATGGGTATACTCAATGAAATTCCATCTCATTTTTTAGCTACCTATTAGAACAGCACCAATTTCCAAGTCATCTCAAAGAATCACACCTACCTCAGACAAGACATCCAAATCTACTAATCTCCCAGATATTATCCGCCGGCTATGAGTTAGCACGGAGTACAAGTACACGGCTAGCCTAGTGTTACCGGTGGTTATTTCAAACAATGTTCACCATCATTCCACGACCTGCTCGGAAAATTGTCAAATAAGAGTTGTACGCACCCTACGTTTGGTGAATGGGTTCATCCTCTCTTCATTGTCTGCAATAGATGCCAGCTATTGAGAAGGATGCACTTTCTGAGTCATGATACATGAGCTAAATTCATGTAAGTGCATGAGAAGTTCACTATATAAGATGCAGTGGAGAAGTTGTTTATGAATACACAAGGGAATCAATAATCTCAGTTATCATGGTGGTATTGCGGAATTGACTTGGACAGTCTGGGTGCGACACATGTGGACTATGGAGAAGAATCCTTCGTGGTGCTGAGATGTGCACGTTGGAAATACGAGGATTCCCAGAAACTAAAGCTTGCAAACTTATTATTGACACAGGTAGATACTATTGTGGTACTACTTAACAAAATTCAACAGTATTCGATCAATCAGATTCCATATTCCGATGACGCATCTCACTATAAATGACGAACTGTGTTGGCGTGGCAGGAATTCTATAACTTGTAGGTGGCACCAGGATGTGTGCAGGAGAAACTTGCTATTGATGAGTTGTGATATATACTTGCGACGTTGGTGTAGGAGTTGAAGGGGATTGACTACAAAGATGATTGTGATGGACCGGGTAGGGGATATTAAGTTAGATGCGGAGAGTACAAGCGTGGCTCGAATTCAGGTTGGTGTGGAGTGGACTTAGAGCTTCATATATACTCTGCAGACTAAGGCTTTGTTGAGTGGTGATATACGCGATTCCATGGTGAATAACTTCAATTTTCGCTATTCATAAAATACTATTGCGATGCGAAACAGAAATGAAAATATCAGCGGAGACTGACACTTTCGCCACAGCCTCGACGATCTCGTAGCAGTAAACTTTCTGGGAGGTTCCTCTGAGCACCCCTAAAATCTCTATCCAAGCAACCGCATTCTTTCAATTCTAATCACTTTGACGGCAATTCAGCGCCATCTTGATTCCAATAATACCGTCGTAGTCCCGTGATACCCCTATCCTATCAAGAAGACCAAGCTTCGAGCTTAGTAAGCATCAATATCCGGAAAATACCACCCCACAGCCACAAGCGTTTTACGCATCCCATTAATTTCTCCGATAGATATCTTGTCAACCTTTTAGATCTATTGGGATATTACGCATCGATATTGATATTGTTTAGTGGGGTACATTTGTCATTGAGCCAGTTGATCTTCATTGCGGCATTACGTTTTTGCTGGTTCTCACCACTGTGATACCGGACTTCCACGCCTCATGAAAGTTGGCGGTCTCGTGAGCATTAATTCTGTGGGCATTTGAGGCGGCGTTTTCATTTCATTCTTTTTGTGTATGTATCAGTTTCACCCTCATTGAGGGACGATGCTGACGGACTTAGATACACCTCCTTTTGGTTCGCACTTGCGAGTCATCAAATTCTGATATAAAGTCACGTGATATACGTTTTCTCCATTTTGGATATTATATCTCTTCATATTTGGAAAACTCTAAGTTTGAACCAATATGTCACATCAAGCACAGCTCGATCTACCAGATTTTCTACAAAACTCACCATATTTACCAATCATCAATTTCGATATCGATGAACCACAGCCACCAAAAGTAGCCAAACCAAGTATTGCACAAATTCTTCGGTCGAGACCTGTACGAACAGCGATACCTATTGTTATTTGTGGACTGTTTATCCTCTTTCTTCTTCCGCATGGAACACGAAAAGCAAAAGAATTGCACCTTCAGTATAAAACTCCTGCGTGTCTGAAACAAGCTCCTGTTGTTGTAGAACCTTTGACGGGCGAGGAGATGGGTATTCAGTGGGATAAATACGCATATATTACATATGCAACATCGAAGGATCATCTATGTAATGCATTAATGTTATTCGAGTCGTTGCAAAGTTTACAGAGTAAAGCTGAAAGGGTATTGTTGTATCCCCAGTCATGGAAGGATGCATGGGTTGAAGATGTCCATGGCACGGATATGGAGGTTATCACTAGAATGTTGATTCAAGCTAGAGATAAATATAAAGTAAAATTGGAAAATGTGGAAATTTTGCAGCATAGGCATGCTACAGCTGGTAACAAATTTCACTCTTACCCTGCATCGAGAATGATGATCATGAAAATACTAATGGATGATAGATGAATGGGCGGAGAGTTATACTAAACTCATAGCATTCAACCAAACCTCCTACGAGAAACTTATTGTTTTGGATTCTGATTCCACTATACGTCATCCCATGGACGAATTATTCGTAGCTCCAATGTCAAACTCAACACAAATCCTCGCTCCGAGAGCATATTGGTTAGATGCCCAAGGTGTCCCACAACTAGCATCCCACATAATGCTCATTAAACCCTCAACGAATGCATTTGAACGGCTGCAAATAGAGTTCCGAAAAGCGGGTTCAGGTACCTACGACATGGATATTATCAACTCTGTCTTCGCTGAACAGAGAGATTCTTGTGGGCTTCTAGATCATCAAATATATGCTCTTCTCACAGGAGAATTCCGCAGACCTGTTACGAAGCATAGTGGGTTTTGGGGGAAAGGCCACGAGGCGGATATATGGGATCCAGAGAGGGTATTTAAGAAGTCCAAATTCGTGCATTTTAGTGATTGGCCCATGAGGAAACCGTGGAAATTGAATAATTTAGAATGGACGGTTTGGGGACCAAAGTGTGTTCCAGTGATAGAGGGAGATGATTGTAGAGCTAGAGATATTTGGAATAGTTTGTATAAGGATTTTAGGGAGAGGAGAATAGTAAGTTTGTTTTTTTGGGTTGTGTTGCTGTTGTTCGTCTGGTGAGTTGATGGCTGATTTGATTTGTGTAGGCAGTGTGCGGGTCGGATTTATTATAGGACAATGTGGTGATATTTATCACACATGTATGGAAGTATTGGATATTAGAGAAATTCGGCGTCAACATACCAATTGCTTTTTGATCTCTTCCTTGGCCTTCTCAATATCCTCTTTAGTACCGTTGCATAAGCCAATCTCTCTATTCTTCTGGTCTACATATGCCTTATCACTCGGCACAATGCCGATTTTGGTTTTGTTTGCCAGTTCGGTGAGAAACTCATTGTTGCGATAAATCAACGTGCCGATATCCTTCGTTGGAACCTGTATCGCATCATGCTTCAACTTCTTTCCTCTACGATCCTTCAACGGAGGAGCCAAGGACACAAAACTGAAATCTGGATGGTTGCCTTTATCCCATCGATTTCTGCCATCACCACAACCATCAACACCAAGTCCCATGCGAACCTTATAAACACCACCCTCAAGACTAATCTTACTTCTTTCCTGCCCTGTCGTAAGTCCATTATGAATCGCTGGCCGGAAAGCTAAATCATTAGGCATAACTCCAGCATCAAATTCATACACTCAGTCTTAACCACGAAAAGAACCTCTTCCACATGAGGAGCCCCAGGAATAAGTGTATTAAGAGCAATATCCTCATCCTTCCCATGAACCACACCCAAAATACCCACACCACCACTACCAATTCTAACCCCAATACTACAAGCATACCCATCATCACCATGTGGAAATTCCCACACATCGAAATCACACTTGTTCTTACACGTAGCAATTATATTCCCGCAACGAAACGCAAATTTGGCATATTTTTCGTCGGATTTATTGTAAAAGAGAGTGGCCGAGATAAATGCGTCCTGATAACACATTGCCAAGGGAAATGGGAGAGGAAAGCTGATTAGATCACATTGTAACAAATCACTTATAGAGAAAATAGGTTTCACAATGGATTTGGGATTGAAACGATTTTGGTTTCAAAATAGTATATAAAAAGCTGATTAATTCTTGAAAAAAAAAAAAAGAATGAAAGTTTCTTTTCATATTTAACTACGGAAATTCATATAATTGAGCTATTGAAAACCCCTACATATATAGCTTGTAATTTTAACTCTTTCACATTATGAGATAAGAAAGTAACTACGGTGCCGATACATGTATCTTCCCCGAAGAAAACAACGTTATTGTAGGGATTATACCACGTCCATGGACATTGATCATTTCCGCGGTATGGATAGTCGTTTGGATAGTTATTAATATATCGTTTTTCGTAAACACGTTGAGCTTCAGCTCCAACTTCCCGATTAGCATGTAAGATACTGGGGACTTCCTGGCCGGGACGAGATATTCGGAAGATTTTGTGGTAGCGGCTTAAATCCTCAAAGTCTGATGTGTACCCGCTTTCTAGATCGATGTCTAAAGCTAGAGCAGCAGGATAGGGAAAATAGGAGTGCAGAATTAGTTCTGGAAGTCGTGGGGTGCCGCGTGCAGCGAGATTCCAGATTTTGAAGCGGAGTTCTGCGGTGAGGGTTGAGAAGATGGGGAATTGGGTGAGGAGTTTTTTTGGTGCGTTTTTTAGTTAGTTTGGTTAGTTTTTAGAATGTGTATGTGATGTGATGTGATATGATGACTAGGAGATGTAGTTGAGAAATATAGATATAGAGGGGGGACATATTGTAAATCTGTAAAAATATGGTATGAGTGAGTGAGAATAAGAGCTTACCTCGTCTTCACCAGTTGAATTCTCTTTAAACAATCCTCAATCTCGAAAATTGACTTTCCTTCGATATTAACACCTCGATGTGGCCCTCGTTACGACAAGGACCAAGGGTTTGCTGCTGCTTGTCTTCTTCTGAGATTAATAGACCGAACTCTTGTTGTTGTTGTTGTTGTTGATGGGCGCAATTGCTTTTTTCTTGGGGGGATTGGTATACAGGGGATGGCTAGCGGTGCAATCTCGTTAAGGCTTAGTTTTGCCCTTTTTTTCAGTTTGCTTTTGTTACTGGGTTTTGAGTGGTGCTGGTGAGAGTGATTGTGGTTACTGTTATGGCTACTGTTGTGGTTTCTGGGGCCGGAGTTGAAATTTGGGTTCCAGTTTGGTGATTCTGTGAAGGCTTAGGGTGGTTTAGTTGTTATGATTGAGGAAAAGATGGGATTAGACGGGATGGAATGAGGTCGGGGGGGGGTGGGGGCGAGCGGGGCGGAAGATAGAAGAGGTATGTACTAGTGAAGAATATCTACCAACACTAGTTGTGGAAGTTATATGTGTTGAGCTGGTTTGATCCTGCTTCGCTTCTTCGTTGATGAATTCAGTTGTCATGTTTCTTGGTCTACCAGGCGTTCTCTACCTCCGGTGCCCCCTTGACTTCTAGTGGAGATGTTTTGGGAAAATGGGGTTTTGTTGTTATGAGACATGTTGTTAGCTGTCTAATTATGTTATTTTGATATCAGGTTGATGGATTATTTCTCAGTGTAGAAATGTATTTGAAATGGTGTAGGAGAAATGGAAGAAGGGAGATGTTGATCCACTTGTTATCTATAAAAAGTAGATTTGAAGAAACAATCGTAGATGTTGAGTGGGCTTGACGTGGCTGCATGTGAAAATGCAGATAAAGACCTCTGATTAAAAAAGTGAGAAAATTTTAATTTATTCAACTTAGTTGTATGATAATCTTACAAGAAGATCTCAAAAAGAAAGTTTAATCTAGATTTTATATAACTTTGAAATCATCTGGAGGAAGGACATTATTGATACTATTCTGTGCTTAGCGAGGTAGGTTCTTCAACGAGTTTTTATACAGCTTACTCTCATTTTTTACAGCTTTATCTTGTTTTTCTGTAGGGAGAGAGTGAGAGCGCATATAATACTGCAATATGGGATTAGAGGTTAGAATAATTTAGTCAGTAGAGGCTATATTGGTATAGGTGTGATTGATGAGGGAGGGGGAGAGAGAGAGGGGTGTAATATTTTTTGTTTTGTTTTTTTTTTAGGATTTGTTAGTGTGGGGATAATGTTTACTATTGAATGATATGATTTATATGTTTTTATAAGATTTATAAAGGTGAATACAATAATGAGGACGAGAAATCAGAAGAGTGAATTCTATATCTTGTAAAAGAATGAAAAAACTATACTAATATAAATAAGTCTAATATCTCACTTTTGAACCACCTCTCTTTTGAAATACTTTTTTACATCAAATTGTGATTTTCATCTATTAGTAATTCTATAATAAACGAATTAAATTAATTGAAATCTCAAATATAAATAAATTTTGTAAAAATTTCAAAAGTTTTCCAAAAAAATTTATTAAGATATTAATGATTGAATTTTTGATATTCAATTTGTATAGATACTTTTCAATAGAAAAAATTTAATTTATAATATTTTTAATTTCAAAATATTAATACTAGATATATATTCAAGATGTATTAATGATAATATTCAAAAATATTTTTAATATTTATTTCAAATATTTATTTCAAATATTTATTTCAAATATTTATTTATTAATTAAAAGAAATAAAAAAGTGAGATAGAATATTGTATAATAATTATAAATAGTTTAATTTATATTTTATTATATAAATTTAACAACTTTTAATTGAGGCTTGTTTTCAATATTTGTAACTGTGTAATAAAATCTAAGACAGTAGCTTAAACTGCTCATAAAAAATTACTTTTACTCCTCTCGTAGATGCTAGAAATTCATATAGGGAGACGAGCTTGTAGAAACACAATAGGCTTAACCAGCCGTCTGCATTGATGAAGATTCCTGAAACAACAAGATGCGATACTATCCATAGACATTAAATGACTGCGATCCGGACCGCCCGTCTTCATGATCAATTTTCTTTAGGGATCTCGTGCCATGGAACAAGCTAAAAAACAGTCAGCAGGAATTAAGATGAGTGCTTCGGTTGGTATGGGTATGCCGACATATCTTTACCTGGATCTCTTCCTTGCATTTTTCAATTGCTTCATGAGTACCATTGTACAAGCCGATTTCAAACTCAATCGTGCTTGTGGATTGCGAGCCCATACCTATGGCTGTGTATTGGTATTTCCATAGGTCTTTCGGGAAATGGATGTCAACGCCCGTACGATTTTCCAGATCAGCAATGAATTTTCCGCTATCTGCAACCAGCTTTTGAATATCGTGAATGGAAACCATCATTCCGTCATGTTTGAGGTTATGGCCTTTACGAGTGTTAATTTCAGGAGCCAGAGAAACAAATTTAAAATCAGGGCAGTTTCTCTTCGTCCATCGATTTGACCCACACCCGATATCGAAGCCACGATTGATGCAATCGATGTTCATTGTCCAATTGTATCTCACTCTCCTATCATCCCACCTTAGGCCGTCATGGAGGGCAGGTCGAAAGCTGAGTGTATTCGGCATTGTTCCTGCAGCATATTGGTCACATTCTGACTTAATCACAATGAAGACTTCTCTGGTGCTATATGAGCCTGGCACCATGTCATTCAATGTAATTTCTTCCGGTATCCCATGAAGAGCCTGAATATTTGTGCAGCCACCACGAATAAACTTTGCACCGTGACCTGTTGCAAGGAAAAGGTGGTTGAGATTGTCCCAGTCGCATTTTGTGTGAATATTCTCAGTGCATAGCATAGCTATCCTAGGAAGTCTCGTTTTTCCAAATATATGGAAAAAGTCGACGACCGTTCTAATGCATGTGCTCTCCCCAAAATAGATGGTATCTAAAGTGGAAAAGCCACAAACGTCGCTCCAGTTGCAGAAAATTCTCCTTTCAAAAATTCGTTCTCCCTCTGCTCGCGACTCCCTGTTGGTTTCCATAATTGCTGGAACACGGTTGGTTTGCTTTGAAACTTTGAAGATGTGGTGGCTTTGTTTCGTGAGAGGGTGGAACACTAGCTCAAAGATGCGTGACTCGGATCGAGCTACAAGTCCCCAAATCTTAATCCTCAGCTCGGCAGCAAGATCTGGAAAGAGAATGAATTCCTTAAGCAGCTCTCTGATATGGTGTTAGTACCTGTGTCAATGGAAATCAAGAGAAATAGCGAGGCAGATTTGGAAGATAAGTTTCGGACTTACCTAACTTTTGGAGTCACGGTAGGTGCATTAACACCAGTTGAAATCTCCTTAAGGGCGATATTAACACTCTTGGATGTTTTGACATCTTGTCCTTGTGTGCGGAGTCTACGAGATGCTTCTGCGCGAGCAAGTGGAGTACGACGTTTTTGAAAGTTCTGGGTGGGCAGAACAGCAATGTCTGGCTGGAGTTTGCCAGACATATTGACTAGTCTAGAGGTTTGACGAGATAGAAATAATCGACTGAGCTTACTGAATTGCTTGTCTTAATATGTGCGGTTTTCTTCTATGGTATGTAAGGAAGTTTCGTCAAAGAATTTGTAAAAACTTAGTTGTGGAAAGAAATGAAGATGGAGGACCCGAACGTTGTATAAATAGATATTTTGAAGAATAGAAAGCTAAAAAAAAAATTATGTGAAACCGTAGTGCCGTAGTGCTGTATTGCTGTAATACTTGGTACTGAACTTACTGACCGCGGTGGTTATGCCGTATTGATTGTAAGCGGTTCCCTCTTGGACCACTAAAACACTAAAGAAAAGTTATAAGATAAATAGATCGTTTCAAATAAGTAATAAATTAATTTCTATAAGATTTTATAATTCCAAAGCTTTTATTATAAGTCTTACAATTTGTGAATATAAAAATTTAAAAAAAATTATTATTTATAGTTTTATTTATTATAATAAATTAATTAATGTTTAACTTTTGATTTTAAAATTTATTTTGAATTAAAATAAATAAATAATATTAAATTACTATTTTAAAATTCAATTATTCACATTCTTTTTAATTTATAAAATAAACAAAATAATAAAAGAAAAAGAAAATTATATTAAAAATAAAAATAAAATAATTAAAGTTATTTTGAAAAAATTTATAATTAATTAAAAATTTATATTTCATTTTATCAATATGTAATTTTTAGATTATAATTTTATCAATTTGTTATTTTTAGTTTAGATTAATTTTCCCAAAAGGGTACAGTAAACAACTCATCGACTGTATGGAGTCCACCTATTGATTCATCTGCTGAATCATCTGTCAAATCATCTGACGAATCATCTTTGGAAATAGTATCCGTAGAAAACATATCTATAGAAACAATATCTTCACTAGCGCCTTGTTTAACTAGAAGCTTGGCTATTACTTCGTGCCCATTTTTAACAGCCCACCAGAGTGGTGCTTGGCCATCGCGATCGGGCGAATCCATTTGAACCTTAGCTGTTTCGAGCAAAAGCTTAAGTGTCGCCTCACGCCCATACTCAGCAGCATATAAAAACGGTGTTTGAAGGTTGAAATAATTCTGTAAATCAAGATTAACTTTTCCCGTATTGAACAAGAGCTTGACTATTGATTCATGTCCATTCTCAGCAGCATATGAGAATGGTGCTTTGTCAAGAACATCATGACAATCGCTAGTTAGTTTGCCTGTATCGAGCAATATCTCCTTTTCATCTTCAAGCTGGCCTTCAAGTCTCTCCATAGCGTCTTTGGATGCATAGTCGTACGCATTTGATCCAGCTGGGAGACTTTTCAAAGCCTGCCGGATGGCCTTGGGAAATTTTTTTCTCTTAAGGATTGAAGGTGTAGTCGTGCAAGCAAAAACCTAAAAGTAATAGAAATAAGCATTGTTCATTTACTTTGTAGGAACTACATACATTCCATCCACCGCTTTAATAATATGACCCTTTATCTCATCTTTTAGCTCCAAAATCTGAAGCACATATTCAGGTAGCTGCGAAATATGACCATCTAAATATCTCTCCACATCTTGATCGCTTGCTCGAATGTCCAACATTAGAGAGTCATTGAACTTTTTTCTAATTTCAGGAACATATCTTGAAGTCACGAAAAGGCTAATTTGGCGTGTTTTTTGATGATTGGAAAGTTCCGATAGGAACCTCTCTCAGTTGCCATCGGCCATTGAACATTCATCAAGCGCATCCACAATGATGAAAACTTTGGAATAGAGAGCAGCGACAGACTGGAAAGTTTTAGAAACCTCTCTTGATGATGCGTGGGTCCGCGCGCCTCTGTGTTCATTATAAAGATTTATAATATCGCCTGGTAGGGAAGATTGGAATGCAGCCAATTGCTTGAGAAGGCTTGACATCAAACCACCAACCTTCTGCTCGTGATGACGCCTAAATTTGCAATACAAATATGCAATACCAACACTTTTGTCATTTCCAAAGCGATTCGTAAGTTCTTCGACTACAATTGGTGTAAGCATTGTCTTTCCAGCGCCGGGAATGCCTAGGCAGAATAATTTCTGCTTGTCGGACTCTACCCATTGTTTGAATTCGGGCGAGTCTAGAAGCCATTGTCCTGTTCCTGATTGTCTTGTTCCTGATTGTCTCTGATTCATATAGTCCTGCTGTTAAGAAGCATAATCAATTGGAGTAAGCCAATCAAGAATTTTTAAATATTCGGTATTAAGTTCTCGAATGTCCTATCGCTCATAAAATTGATCTGCGTTCGTTTTTATGTCGTTCAATATCTTGCTAAAACACTCTTAGTCGAAAAGCTATACATGCATGGAAAGATAAGTTATCTTGTGATTTTCCCTTGAAACGTATTCAACAGGGTAACATTTGATGCAATACGACTCCGAAGCTCCTTGATATCCTCCAACTCCCATTCAAGTCTTTTCTAAGCTCTCTTTACCTTGTTTCCCACGCTACTAGAATCTGATATTATTTCGCCACATATGCTCAATGTCCGTTGTAGCTTTTCCAGAACACCTCGAAAACCATAAACAATTTTTCTTTTAGTTCATTTGCTTGTTTGGCGTTGAGGTCTGGCACTGATAGCTCGTCCTCGATATCCTGAAGCACAATGGAAAGATTTCTAACCCTGTAAAACTTGATAAGGCGCTATCATTTGACTTAAACTTAGAACTACATACTCGGTAGAAATATCCTGGAATTGTCTGGGTGCATTGATAAAGCCCCTTCGTAAAATTTTTGGCAAGCTCGATCACGGCGAGGATGTCCCCTATTCCGAAACCGAAGCTCATGGTGCTCAGAATCTCAAATGGAGAAACAAAGAACAATGAAGAATTTGGCTTTGTTTAAATGACTGATATGAAATCTTCAGACTGAAATTCGTGTATTCTAACTGAGATATATTTGAATCTGACTTGCATAGATCAGCCTCATCGAAATACACATGTGGCTTTTGATTGGCTACTAGTAAGAGGCCCGCTGCATTATTTTCCACACTGACACTCTTCCCGAGTTTCTACACTCTTTGATTGGATGATATAAGCGAACCGTTTCAAAAAATCTAATTGATCAATTTCTAAATGAGCTTTATATAGTACATTATATAATTAATCAATAAAATAATATTTGAAATAAATCAACTGAAATAATTTAAAAAGTCTAATATTTTATTTTCAGATTATTTCCTGATGAATTATTTTTTTATAAAAATTAAAAACTTTATTTGTCAAAATTTTTACATTAAATTAATAAAATCTAATGAAATTCAATATTAAATTCATTATATAAATATAAATGAATTTTGAAGATTTCAGATTTTTTATAATTTTATAAGAAAATTTTGAAAAAAATTATCAAAAATAAATTAATAATTTTTTATATACTAGCTTTAATATATTTCTTCTTTTAAATAGATTGTTAAACAATCTCGTTAACCTTAAAATAAAAGCATCAACCGCATCATCGTACCAAAAAAACTGAAGCACTTCGAGACCAAATTACCCTTAAGCGCCGTGAGGCAAGAGGCTGAGAGAATGACGGCGTTACAATAAGTTTCTGTCTCTTCAAGTTGTGCCGACGCCATATATCGATGATATGGCAAAAAGGTCTAATTGAGTGTTATCTGATCTCTCTTGACAAACTCGTGTCTAATTAGTCCTGGATTCTCGTTGTTGCACATCTGGAAAAAGGCCTAGCGCCCATTCATTTATGTGAAAGACTGACTACACCTAACTCAACTCCAGACTCTCTTTCGATCGTTTCTAGATGAGAATATTTTCATGACATCTACGGCTCGTTTAGCTACCGTTCAACCTCTCGCTTCTATCTAATCACAATTGTGCAGTTTAAAAGGTCTAATGGCTTCTCAGAGTCATCACGAGGACAGTGATAATGACTAGCATAATTTCCTATGCTTGAGTAGATGCCTGAGATTAAATTTTCCTAGCCTCAGAATGATTTTCACACCTGGGAAGTTTTTCGGATCGAAGACAGTAAAGGGAATTTATTATATATCGCCCGTATATCCATCTCGTATATAATGCATTAACAACCTGATCCCTAGCACCGAACACCATACCTTCAATGCCCAAACTCCCTCCACCCGTTCATATTCTGTGTACATACGATTGTTGGCCCTAATGCGATGTCCCAAATTGCGTGTGATGAAAGCGATGTTAGGATAGCGAATCCTACCATTCAGATGGCCAGCCTCGCGCGTACCAGTGTAACCCGACCTCGTCGTCTTATCTGAGTTTGGGATTCAAAGGCTTCATCCATAACACGCATAATCCCTTTCACAACCCAAGCATTCTTCTACATCCATCCCGTACTTTCTGCTCATATTCCGATCTGTGTTCTCTCCACTGCTTTGCAGCTTCTACATTCGCCGGGCTCTCATCATTTGGTTCCGCTAACATACTCATGACGCTTATTAAGATTTTCTCGACACTTTGAATAGGAGACCAGCGCTCGGATGCATGTTCATAGTGGTTTGGGTCGTCTCCGGGTGGGTGGAGAATAGATATACAAACGAGGCCGCTTGGATAGACTGGCAATGAATCATGTTAGCACTATCTTCTTCAAATCATAATGTACTCATATGGCATATTTTTGGCAGAAAAAAAACGAAATGAGCGAGACGAACCATTAGGATGCCAAACTTCTCCGAGAAACCTCATACTAGGTGGCGCAAGTGGGTAGTCCTTCGGGAACTTCAATTCAGCAGCAAAGACTCCTCCTTCGAATGGTGTACCCTCCGGTCCTTGTATTAAAGCCTCCCAGCACAACAAGTCATCTTCGGAGACTGGACCTGCGGTAATGCCCTCTGGTGGATTATTTGTGAGAGAGCGGTATTCTTGAAGTAAACGTCGTTGTGCTGTAGCTGAGGCCATCTTGGTTGTGCTGTTATACTGAAACGCAGTTTGAGAGGTAAATCGATGTGGAGAGATCTCGTTAATTGATATGTGGCGGAAGCGTACGCTAAAATGGAGCCATTCTAGTGTACCATCATTATATTTACCCCGCCTTGCCGATGAATACCCGTCAGAAACCGCCTGAAGCTCATTAATGTAAGACTTACGATTCTCAATCACTCTCTTCATACCTCAGCGACGTTGATAGTCAAAGTTTCTAGAGGTATTACATAAACCTGTTCGGAATCCTATAACCCGCATCGATCCCTCGTCATGGCTACTGCGCAAACACCACTCAAGATCGGATATGTCCCCGAACATTTCTCTACCCCTCTTCACTTCGCGCAAAAGTATTTCGGTCTCGATGCTGAATTGATCCCATTCCCATCTGGCACAGGGCATATGATCACATCGATACGATCAGGGGAAATTGATGTAGGGATTGGTCTTACTGAAGGATGGGTAGCTGGGTTGGGCAAATCGGATCTGGAAGGCGATGGAGGGTATAAAATCGTTGGTACTTATGTCGAAACACCATTGTGTATGTCCTTCCCTTCTTTAGGCACGTATGTTGATATTGCGAGGACGGCGGGTTAATTGAATGAAAATAGGCTGGGCAATCTCTACGGGCGCAAATAGACCTCTGAATGGCGTCGCAGATCTTAAGAACGGCAAAATCGGTGTTTCGAGGATAGGAAGCGGGAGCTATGTGATGGGTTTCGTTCTCGCCGATGAGCAAGGCTGGCTCAATGAAAGCCAATCGTCCGAAGGGCCTTTCGAAGTCGTCCCCTTACAGACATTCGAGAAGTTGCGCAATGGTGTGAACGACAGTACAGTGGATTTCTTCATGTGGGAACACTTTACTTCGAAACGATATTACGATAGTGGAGAGATCAAACGAATCGGAGAAATATATACACCATGGAGCAGTTGGAAGATTGTTGCCAGCACAAATGTATTACAAGATTCAGATGATAAGAGGTTGAATGACATGTTTGAGAAGATCGACAAAGGTGTCAAGTATTTTGAAAAGAATCAGGATGAGGCAGTGAAATACATTAGTACTTCGTTAGATTATAGCGAAGAGGATGCAAAGGAATGGTTAAAGACAGTCAAGTTTGCAAGTAGCACAAAGAAAGTGGATGTGGCAGTTATCCAGAAAACTGTAGCTACTCTGCAGAAGGCCAAAGTGCTGGGAGACGATGGTATGTCACCAGAACAGATGATCACCCAATAAATCGCACAGGACCTTCGAGGGTGTAGCTCTAGTCCGGAAATGAAGTCAAGACATCCATAACAACCAAGTCATCAATTTTCATGATGTCGCATGGTCACTTGAGGACAGCGAATACTCCCACGGTTACATTTCCCAGACTATTATGCCCTGTTCCTGCTGTATGTTTTAATAAACTGTAAAGAAACCAAGTCTTATTCATAACACCATCTGGAATATGTACTACAAGGATACATTGGTCGTTAAATGCCTCTCACGATAGACAGGGTTGATGTATTTTCACAACCAGCATTGTTGGGATAGTGCTAAGTAGTACATATTATATAATTGCTCCCGTACCGTTTTGGTTTGATTGCCCACCGTCTTCGGGTGGTAGCTTTTCAATATTTTCATAGTTCGAATATTCAGCGATTAAAGGAGCAAGGCATTATTCAAAACATCGAGCCCTTGTCGCTGAACTGATTCCGTCCTGAAAATGTCTTCACCGAAAATTACGATTGACTCGGATGAGTGTTGAATGTTTCGACTGTTTTCATCAGTCTGATGTACAATGATGAACATTTAGATTGGAGGACCGATTTGTGCAGCGGCTCGTCTATTCCTAAATTATAATCGATCATGTTCAGAAAGCAGAGAAGATGTTATCAAAATACTATGGGACAAGCATTTAATACCAAATGCAGATGAGATTTTGTGGGAGGTGAAGGAGATAGAACCGACGTGCGACAAAGCAAAACTAGGATGCTAGAAAAATGAACGTGGCAAAAGTACCAGAAGTAAAGTCTAATCAAGTTGACTTCTATGTTACGGAGTGGTGAGATATAGGAGAGATATCAGATACCAAGATCAAGCACAAAAAGAGGGATACTTGATACCGGAAGACTGCTAGTTCAGCATGGGATAGATGGGAGCTAGAATTGGCACAGTTAGATGGATTGAGAAAATTTGTAAGGAGCCAAGCGAATGTTGAAAGAGGGCTGAAAGGTTATTCCGGGAGGGGAATCCGCTCTGTGGACAAGTCAAACTAAAGCAGCCGTGTGTAAAAAGAATGCACCGCACGGAAACAGCACACGCCAGGAAGGAATGCAGAGGACGGAGGTGACACGAATACGAACCAACATACTCGGCCGCGATGGTAAATTTATTTTGAACAGCGGTGTATAGTAATCCGGTATCGTGTGCATTCGAAGTGGAAAGAGGAGTATCCCTGCGGATTTATGGCAGGGCGGAGCGGCATCAGATTCGTTTACTAGGTAACTATGCTGTGTTGTCATCGGGGCGGTACTGAGCGGGTCGCGGGGTGGGTGGGGTGGATATCGGACTCCTGTGTTTGGTATTCTGTTTTGCAAGGTACAGGGTTATTATTTCTTTTAAAGAGCTCGCGGGGTTTGCTAAATGTCTGTCGATGACATTGTATACCAAGCACCCTCCAGAGATGGAAGGGACGCCGCTTTTCAGTGCTAAGTTTGAACACAAAACGATCTACTCCATATAGCTAAGGACTTGCAGGTAAATGGATGTATTTTTTCCAGAAATACATAGCGCCAACAGTTTGATATGATCTGGAAGTCTAATGATTGAAACCTATCTTAGTTACTTTGACGTTTTCTGGTCGTTTGTAAAGTTTTACCTTGATATCGGTACAAGAATTTCAAGTACCATATTCCGGCAAGTTCGCACCCCTAGCTGGCAGTCCATCTATCCTATGATAAATCATATTAGGTACTCAAAAAATTGAGAAAACTGATGCATGATCAATGAGCACGGGAGTATCTCTAGAACAGCCATAGAAATTTTCTAGAAACCTCCTAGTGACAAGAGAGTGTAGGGTGTTCTTTAAGCGAGAGGAAAGGGAGTTTGGCCAATGGATCAATACCAAAATCTGTGCCGTGCTTTATACAAAGGTGTCTGGCAGTGAGTAGCATAGTGGAACCCACGATTTGTGGCATGTTTGAATGATCTTGTAAACTTTCGATGATAGGCGGTATTCCTAGCACTTCTCTGTTCGTCAAGAATAGTTGTACATTCACAATACCATAAAATTTACTCATTCGAACTCGTAAGCTGTCTAGATTGCTACTACTTCACATTAGGTCATAAAGTCAAGTTTCATAAGTTCGAATTATGATGCTACTCTCGCAGACAAGCATCAATTTCAATTGCGCAATAGTAAAATGTGGCCAGCGAGAATTTTCCAGGAGAAAGGAAAGAATGCCACAGATGTTTGGGTCGTATCAGGGAGTGCAAGTAAATTTAATATGGATTGAATGGAGAATTTTTTGGACGAAATTCTTCACAACAAGCCTAGTCTTACAAAAGGTGCAAAGTCGCCCACCGTTGCCGCTTGAGATGAATACTGGGGTTTCTACGACGTTACTACTCTCGCGGTAAGTGATCGTATCTGATTCTGTGTGATCTTTCCGTAGATAAGGTAATAAGGCATGGCTTGGTACTTACAAAAGAAAAGACTGCCTAGAGCTAACTACTTACCATGACAGCCGTAAGTGATCGAATCTATTAAAAGTGATTGACAATACGGCTGACAAAAAGGGAAGATAGTACGGTGTTTCCAACGGACACAGAATATAAAGCAAGTAACCACACAACAAGAATCACATGGGAATAGCCAAAAATACATCGAACCAAGTAGAGGCGTTAAGATTCGAAGCACTTTCGTTAGGAGGGCTTAGGAGAGTGTGGAAATATATAATATCTTAGATTTACTGGTAGAGCCATCGAAGATAGAGTGTCCGTAGATAGGAAGATGGATAATCTCGTAACTACCGACAAAGGCCTCTCATGATCGAAGCTCGACACTCGGATACACAATATTTATCTAATTTGACGGCAGGTGGGCAAGATCCCGACTGAGCTCCATTAGACAGCTTTCCAAGGATTGAAAGTAGAATTAACCAGTGGGAAAATGACTGGACACTGGATAGCAGCCAGGTAAATCAACTCTCTTCAAATATCCTCGATGGTTTTCCATGGGCCACGACACTTAATGGAGCAAATGGGATCAATAATGAAGATTCTCGTACATCCTCTGTCACCAGCGACAACAACCCATGCATTGATGAGTGATTAGCTATGCTCAATCTTATCTCGACGCGTACTTTGTTAGGAACTTCAAGGATTTTATACAAGTTAAATATTAGGGATGGGGGGAGTGCAATACCTAGTGTTGCAAGATATTAACTACCGGCATGGAATTCTACAGGTGTATTGCCATCACTTCATTAATCTACAAAATTCTATGCTTAGATTTTAGAAGAGGTGAATATAAAATCAATATAAAATCATTCTCACTGATGGTTGTAGGCTGTAGTTAGCTTGTTGTTGGTTGAATGGGTCTCGAATAGGCAGTTGTTAGCGTTGCACGGGCGCAGTATTCAGCGCATTGATGCCGAAAGAACGCTAAAGATAACAGTTAACGTGGGGTTTAAATTCAGGGGTAACAACACCGAAGAACTTCCAACTTCCATCCCCATCTTCTGTTTTTCACGAAATATGACATCAACATCTCTTTTTCGATCACCATCGTCGGAATGGCGACGTTGAGGCTATCCGAGAAAACTCTTTTCATGAAGACACCTTTCAAAATGGAAAGATGTATTAGCTAGTGTTCACAAAGTGGACCATATTGCACAAACACGGTATTCACTACCCCTCCTCCCCACCTTCAGCTGCTTCACAATTGGTCCAAAAACCTCAATATGATCCACACATCCTGCACATTGCCCTGACAATCTCCTTGCTGAGATTGTGTGACATGCCCATCATGCGACCCCACCACTTATTACGCATACAAACAGCTTCCTCCATATTTACCTCCATATCCCCTCATTCCATCACTCTCAAGCACAAGTTCATCTCAGCTGTCGTACGCTCCCTCAATACAAACTATTCCTCTATATTCTCCCACGCGAAGGTATCGAATAGCAAGAATGGCAGGTGAAGCAATGAACGACGGGAAGTTTAAACACAACCTCACCGAGGCTCCCACCTACACATCCAAGGTGTTGCCTATGTTTTCACTCAAAGGACGAACCGCCATTGTATCAGGCGCCGGTGCTGGTATCGGTCTTGCAGTTGCTCATGCGCTAGCTGAAGCCGGTGCTAATGTGGCTATTTGGTACAACAGCAACAAGAAGGCTATTCAGGAGGCAGAGAAGATTGAGAAGGAATATGGTGTTACTTGTTCGTATTACCGCTTACTAGGATCATCCGAGGTGCTGTGGCACAAGGCTAATCGTCATGCGAATCCATAGGCAAAGCATACCAGGTCAATGTTACCTCATTTGAAGCCGTCGAAGAAGCAGTCAACACCGCTGTAACTGACCTCAATGGTCGTCTCGATATCTTTATCGCAAATTCTGGTATCCCATGGATTCAAGGCGCTGCTCTCGATGGAGAGCTTGAACACTACAAGAAAGTGGTAACAACAGATTTAGATGGAACATTTTATTGTGCTCGGGCGGCGGGTCAACATTGGAGAAGACAGAAGAAAGAGGGCACCACTATTGACGGAAAGAAATTGGAAGGATTCAATTATGGAAGTTTTGTGGCAACGGCGAGTATGAGTGGGCATATTGTCAACATTCCCCAGTTGCAAGCCCCGTATAATGCTGCGAAGGCTGCAGTTATTCATTTATGTTCGTACATTTTCTCTCCTTCTCTCCATGAGATACTAATTACATACAGGTAAATCCCTAGCAGTAGAATGGGTTGGGTTTGCCCGCTCCAATACCGTCTCTCCTGGTTATATCGCGACTGAGATCTCGGAATTCTGTCCCCCTGAGACAAAGGCTACTTGGAAGGATAAGATTCCAATGGGTAGAGAAGGGGAGGCTCATGAGTTGAAGGGGGTGTTCCTTTTCCTCGCCAGTGATGCCTCAAGTTACTGCACTGGAACTGACATTATTTGTGATGGAGGGTACTGCCTACCATAAACGAATATAGACGAGAGATAATTGATGAGGTGTTTAGGGGTTTGGAATCTTGGGATAAACTAGACATGATTGTTTCGGCATGAAATGAAGATATCAAGAACACAATGGCAATCTCCTTTGTGAAGGCATAGCATTCGAACGTCAATGAATTAACTTACATGTAAAAATTGTAGACTCTTGGTTACAGAATAATAAATTGTCTTGTGAGCTCAAAATCTTCATACACTTACCAAAACCCCACTCTACACGCTTGACAGCTGTCAAGACGTGCAACAAACCACCGCAAACGCCCACCAAGGCCCACTTCTAAACATTTGACAGCTGTCCAGATATGCAACAAAACTTTTGATATGATCCTTACTGTGTTCTGAGTAATATTAGCACACGCACATCAATCATCCTGTGACCAATATTGTGACAATGTCTCGGCTCGTTTGAAATGAAGGGGGGAGGTGTGTCGAGGTGGAAAAAATTAAAGATTAAAATTAATTGAGTTTTGGGCATCGGGGTATCATTGGTTAAAGTTAAAATAGATAGATGGATGTTTGGATTGATTCGTGGGTTGTGAGTTTGTTTTAGTAGGGATTTGGATTTGGATTTGGATTTGGATTTGGATTTGGATTTGGATTTGGATTTGGATTTGGATTTGGATTTGGATTTGGATTTGGACTTTGACTTCGGGGGTGGAATGGTTGCGCGTTTTTGGTGGATGGTGTTGATGGGTGGATTTGAGTGGATGAGGGAGAGAAGGTGTTGATGACTAAGTGGATTCTCCATAGACAAGACCCTTACTTCCGATGATTTGCGAGGTGTGAAGGATTGTCCCAGGGAATAATTACGTTTATATCATTTGCACTCATCGCAATATGTTCAATACAATTCCTCTTGATTCTCAAGCCTAGGATAACTAACCTATTTGTATTTTTGTGTCTGCCGAGGTGCATAACCTAGTAACCCCACAATCCCCGCAACATGGCTGTGTAAGGTTTGCTTCGGCTTTGTACGACGCTTCTTGCCATTCCGACATCAATGTGCGGTAGGAATCCGTGTTTGATGGCAGGTACTTGCGATTAATTAATTGGTTCAAGACTTCAAGTTAAGATCTTTCTTTCCTTCGTTCACTATGCTTCTCGGTTATCGTCGGACAGAGACGAAAGCATCGTGGATCTTTACTTGCATCTATGTATCTCAACTTGGAATTTCTCGGCAGTAGGTAAGGTTAGTGATAATTTGAGATTGATTACCGTATTTGTCTCACCTTCTCAACTTCTCACCTTCTCAACTCCTTCGACTCAATTTCTTTCCTTTCTGATTCTTCGTTCTTTACCTACTGAGCAACAATTGTTCAGAGGGCCGAAGTTGGTGAATGAATGAGATCAATGCATTGAATGCATCATCTAAATCATTTAGTATCTTGTGGCTCTAAGGAAAGTAAGTATTGCCGTAAGCTGCACGCGGGTTAATACTTAAACTACGATTTACAACAACTCCTGGAGGAATCTTTCTGTACATCATCACAGGGAAGCTAGCCATGATGGATCTTTCACTCACCGTGGCTTTTATCCTAAACGGATTCTTTTGGGCTGTGATAATTGCAACAACTATCTCAGCGGTATATGTGAGTGTCCTTGCATGATGCAAGTAATCTAAGCTGACCGCATCATAGCTGACAAGTCTCACGATCTATCGTCTGACATTTCATCCTCTCGCAAAGTATCCTGGTCCATTCCTTGCGAAGATCACGGATTGGTACTCAGTATATCATGCATGGAAAGGCGACAGACATCTGGAGTTTTATAGGTGTCATGAGAAATATGGTAAATAATTGCGTTCCTAGGGAGAAATCAATGATGCTAATTTTTAAGGATCGGTATTTCGATTTGGCCCAGATAGCCTTTCAATCAATTCTAACACGGCTTTAAAAACCATCTATGGCCATAAGTCAAATGTCAAGAAGTCTCAATTCTACGCGGTGTTTCCTCCAACCAAGGATACATTCAACACTCACAGCAGCATCGACAAAGCTAGTCATGCAAGAAAAAGAAGGGTTCTCTCCCATGCGTTTTCAGACAGTGCTATCAAGACCATGGAGAAGTACATTTTAGCAAATGTTAGAACTTTCTGTACTAATCTTGGTCAACCAAAAGCATCAGCAGAAAAATCAACTGGTGGATGGAGTGTCGCCCAGAACATGTCTGATTGGTGTAACTACTTGACATTTGATGTCATGGGTGATCTTTGTTTTGGAAAAGCATTTGAGATGTTAGAAAATTCATCTAACCGTCACGTGATTGACTTGATTGGAAACGCTGCTCACACTCACTTAATTGTAAGCACCCAATCCATGGAGTAAGAAGATATACTAATCATCTAGACTGGTACATACCCTATAATTAAGACTATTGGTTTGAGCAAAATTCTCTTTCGTAAGATCTATGCCCAGAGAATGAAGTACATGGCCTACAGCAGAGCTCAAGCTTCCGAAAGAACAAAGATTGGACTTGATACTGACCGCAAGGATTTCTTTTACTATCTCCTCAATGCTCGTGATTCAGAAACCGGACAGGGATTTACTACTCCAGAGCTTTGGGGTGAGAGTAATTTACTCATTATCGCTGGATCTGATACCACTTCAGCGGCTCTTGCGGCCGCTTTCTTCTACTTGGTTCACAACCCCGATAAATTAGACATTCTCACAAAGGAAATCCTGTCCACCTTTTCCGATCTGGAAGAGATTCATTCAAGTCCTACACTCAATGGCTGTACGTACTTAAGAGCAGTTATTGATGAATCCATGCGCCTTTCACCACCCGTCGGCGGCATTCTTCCCCGCGAGGTTCTTCCCGGTGGAATCGACATCGATGGTCTCCACATTCCAGCCGGCTACGTAGTCGGAACTCCTCATTACACCATCCACCACAACCCAGCCTACTACCCCTCACCCTTCACCTTCCTCCCCGAACGATGGATCCCTTCTTCCGCTCCCGGAATCACAGCAGATTCAGTAGCACTTGCTCAAAGCGCCTTCTGTCCTTTTAGTATTGGTCCTCGAGGATGCATCGGAAAAGGAGTCGCATACGTAGAGTTAATGACGAGTTTGGCTAGAGTGGTTTTTATGTATGAGATGAGGATGGCGAAGGGATATACGGTTGGAGAAGGAAATGAGAATTTGGAGGTGGGAAGACAGAGGAGGGGTGAGTTTCAGTTGAGGGATAGTTTTACGAGTATGAAGGATGGCCCTTATGTGGAGTTTAGGGACAGGGCTAAGTAAGGGATTGTTGGGGTGGACTGGTGTGTGAAAAGAAAAAACTTTTTTTCGTCTAGTGGGGAAGGGTTAGGGGGTGAACTGGGAGTTGGGGCGGAAGGTAACTAAGGCATTTCATGGCGAAATTGTACTTTTGGTCGAATGTATCGTCTTTTTCAATGAGTTTTACGCAGCTTCATTAACGCCTGTTGAGCTCTCGATCTCCATCGTGAAGTATGACATAGTGCACGACGATTATTCCTCTGATTAAGCAATGAGGACGAAGTTAGTGCATGTGAGATCTTATATCTTATATCTTGATTAATCCCCCAAAAACAAGTTTACCTAGTATCTATTCCTTCCTCATAAAATCAAGCAGAAGAAAATAAATACTTAACCCCCCTCCTCCTAAGAAAACCTTTAAAGCTCTATTTGTGATCAAATGATTATTAATAATTCATTAATATTACTAGAGATAAGAATATTATGATTTATGAGATTAATTATTATATTTATTCTATTTGAAGATAAGACTTAATTACCTTTGTGGGAATTTTTAATATTTTATTTTGGGATCATTATTATTTGTACAAATCTGGAATTTTGAGATTCAGGGTTTTGATGGTTTGGATTTAGGATTCTTTGAAGATTTTTTTTGAATCTAATAATGATTGATGGATTTTTGAGCTGTTGGATATAGACTTATATATTCTTCTTTTTCTTTCTAATTATTAAATGTTTATATATAATCTTCTTCTATATTCCATATAAGACTTCGTATCCCTTTTAGCGGGTTGTGAGAGATTCTGCTGTTTGGTTCACTTTCTATGTATGGTTAGAAAGATCTTATCTTTTCTCTCTCGCTATTTTTCTCTCCAGTGTACCGGGAGGTAATTTGATTATACTTCTTCTTTTCCGCGTTTTGTGTCAGTATCATTCGTTGCTTCTATCTATTCTTCTCTGAGCCTTTTCGAGCGTAGAGAAAGGAGATGGGGATTAATCTGCTTTTTGCTTTTTTTGAAGCACCAACCAGCCTGCAGTATGTTTATCGAAATATGAAGGACTTGATATATATTGCGGAATGAATTGACAGGATGTTATAAATATTCTCCTGCCACCTTTTGCCAACGGGGTGTTGATTTGAGTACGAAAGATGACTAGGCAAAGTTATATACCATGCCATGAGATCTTGTCTGAATTTTCGATGGAGGAAAGGAGGAAGATTCCTCAAAGTAAAGAGTAGATAGCTGGAAAGGCAAACTAGATGTGTCCTAGAAGCTCCGCTTGGGAAATTTGTCTTTACTTGTGTCGTTTCTTTCAGCTTAAGCTTGTGCTTTATCCATACCATGCCTGTCTACACGCGAGCGCTAGCTTTAGTTATAGCAACATGTAAGCTGAAGTTCAATCTGAACTTGCAGAGATATTTGTTGCGGCGTCGACAGGTCTGGATGCGAGCTCATATCTTTGGAATCACGGATATCTGCAGTCTTGATATAGCTCTTCTTAGCTGGCAAATGAAAGGTAGCAAAAGTTCAATAGTTTAGATAGTTCTATACAGTTATCACCTTCATGTACTTGTGGTCCGCTCTCTAGCTCGTCTGTATCTAGGATCGCGGCTTCTAGAGCATTTTCAAAACCCACGGAATAAGCTGGTAACACTTAACCTGTTGCATTTTCGGAATTTAATTTCGACGTCTGATACTCTAGCTGTGCAATTTACTGAGTTTTCGGCTAAGAATTCAATCTTCCTTCCTGGGGATATGGAATTTCACTGGGTTTTTATATAGTGTCTAATCCTCCACTAACGTCTAGCGTGTGTATATTCTGGGATACTCTAAAGGGCGGATAGCTAGCGATATAATAGAATGATTTTGGATGGTTATTATCTCTAAAAATATATGAGTATTCGCAGATGTTTATTTCTGTGAGCTGAAAGTTTTAGCGCCATTTATCACGGTTATCAAGTCTGGTTTAACTTTAACCTACTCCTCTTTCCCCTGATTCAACCTCAGCTCGTACAGAGTTTACCTAGGATCTATGAATATTAAACCAGTCAAGTGAAAAGATATCGATACTTTTAGGATGCCCTAATCACTGGGGTCGTCTTTAAATCAACCGTTAAACCCAATGTCGAATTGTGGAGCAGCAAAGCAGGTGGATATCCCCCGGTCATTTATGATTCAATACTAACTTGAACTTCATGATGATACATACTTTAAAAAGCATACTTTCACACTCGAATCATGAATTCTGTTCGAACTGCTTTTGTGGCTAGTCGGCGGGTGATAGATTCATCCGACAACAAGTTAACTACTCGGTGTTGAGTAATCACTATGATAGAACCCCACTGTACTCCGTACCGGCCAGTTCATTACAATTATTTTTAGACTCCGGGTTTTGTATATGAGTATCGGATTCCGGTATTTTGAAAAATTCCTGTCAAATTTGACAATTCCAGTATGAATATTACTTGTGAAAAACTTATATATCTCTTTTTATGGATTTATTATATAATTAATTAATTAAAAAGATTAGGACGAATATATAAATTCTACTTTATGTTTTATTATCTGATCCTAATGTATCGGGAGTCCATATATATTAGATTTTATTAACTAAATATTTTGGACTGGTATAACGGGGCTTTACTATATAAACGGCAGGTGCAAATACACCTCGCTTCAGAATCAGTAATCACCTCCGCACATGTCCACTATTGTTTTGCATCGGGAAGGGCAAATGAAGATGAGTAATCAACTTCTTGAAATGGTGTACAGATTACTCACAAGGCTTCGGGGAATGTTGGGCAAACCTTGTTGTGACGTAGATAAGTTATAGTGCGAGGAGTGTAATGGAGAGCCACAGGTATAAAAGGGAAGAGCGATGCACTGTCGTAGTTCTCATATGCCGCGATCCCATCGCATCTAGAGGCAAATGATTTCCTCACTTCTTTTCACGTGCTCGAACTTTCTCTTTACAGGAATTAACCCCCTCCTAACTTCTCCAATATTACAGCCGGAAAATCAGTCCTCCATAATTGAAATCAATGAACATTTCAAAGCGACTTTCGGTCCGTCACCTCAGCCATTCAAGATATCAGTCGATCCAGACTTCATCGAACAAACCACATTAAAAGCGTCTTTGACACGATACACAACCGATGTCAACCAACCCGATTTCACCGATGGTCCTCCTCGTCATAATGTCACCACAATCCGTGATTATTGGGTCAATAACTACTCTTGGTTCTCTGTTCAAGACCAGATCAACAAAGATTTGAGCCAATACACCACAACTGTCTATGCAGACGGTAACTATACCTACCCTATTCCCCTTCATTTCGTGCACCACAAATCTCCTCGATCAGATGCAATCCCACTGCTTTTTATCCACGGGTGGCCGGGTTCATTCCTCGAAGTTAGCAAAATAATAAATCATTTAACGAACCCTTCAAATACATCAATGCCTGCTTTCCACGTCGTGGCACCCAGCCTTCCAGGATATGGATTCTCTCCAGCTCCGCAATATCCCGGTCTAGGACTGCGTGAAACAGGACAAGCATTTAATAAACTCATGATAGAACAACTTGGCTACTCGAAATATGTAATCCAAGGAGGTGATTTTGGCGGTTTCACACTCCGCTACATGGCCGGACAGTTTCCTTCTAGCGTAGTATCCTCACTCTCAAATTTCTTCATCGTGCCTCCGAATTCTACGGATCTCGAACGCTATGCAAACGGGACGACGAGTGAGGAGGAGAACTTTCAAATCGGAAGGCTCGATATGTATAATAACTATTATGCGGGGTATAGAGATATTCAACAAACAAGACCAGAACAACTTGCTATTGCGATGACGGATAGTCCGGTAGGATTTGCTGCGTGGATTTATGATTTTATGTTTAGTCATGTAGATGGGTATGTGTGGACGCCGGAGGAAATTATTACGTGGGCCATGATGTACTACATTCAAGGGCCTTATGCAGGAATGAGGATGTATAAGGAACTTGCTAAGGTAAGGAACTGCATATTCAACGGGGTTTCGGTGGATATGATGACTGATTGTTTCATAGGCTGGTACATGGTTGAATGAAGGATTTCTACACATTAGCAATCCCGTCGGCGTTATTGCGTTTCCCAAAGATTTAGGATATAGAACGGTACGCATCACTCGAATGTTTATGTTTCTACATCACTAACCATCGCTAGCCGACTTCCTGGCTCCAACGATGGGCAAATGTAACTTATGAAGTTAATCATTCGAGAGGTGGGCATTTTGCAGCACATGAAGTTCCAGATTTGCTTCTTGAAAATATTCGAACATTTTGGGGTGATAGCTCGCTTTCAAATGCGGATCAATTCAAGGAGCAGCTAGATCATTTGTGGATGAGTGATGAGTTATGAGCAGGGTGTAGATGGGGATTTGGGCAAGGGCTGTTGTGATTGATATATCAATACAACTTTATGGTAGCTAGATGTAGAAGATAAAAGCATTTTTACTCCTATGAGTTGTATCTCGGTGGTTAGCAGCACTTGACTTCAGTGCTATGTGGGTAGGCACATCTAAATTCAGAAATATGAATAGCATGCCACGGAATAGGCTTCGAATAATGGGCATAAATTTTTTGATGATATCAAGACTAGTGAATTTTCCGCACAAAAGTAAAACTGAGTCGATCTAGCAATAATTGGCAATTAATCCACTCTAGGTGAATAAACAAGCCACATATTCACAATATGTGAATACGAACCTCTTCCCGAAAAATTGATAAAAAGTTATGAATGGAAACGAAGCAATAGGAGAAGTAGCAGCTGCTTTATTTTCTAATTAAAACAGCTAAAATTGGAAGAATCTTACTTCCTTGGAGACGACTCGGATATTGATTCCTCTTTCCTAGCTCTCATCTAATTGAATCTAGGGACTCTTGCCCTCTTTCTGGTTCATTAAAAAAATAGACTCATAGCGCCCATCACGACGAATAATGTCCATCCACCAAGAGCCATTCTACTACCCGCTCCAGGAACATCATTGACGTTTTTACTCCCACTAGTTATATTCTTCGCTCTCAAACAACTCATGTTAGAAAAGCTTAGTCCAGTTCCTCGAAAATCCTCGCTCGGACTTTGCATTATCAGAATTGGCCATATTCTGGTGACCGCCTCTTCGTAAAAGGTGAAATCGGCGGAATCGTGGGGATCGCTGGATCTGGACATCCAGGCTGACCCATGAGTTTGATTTGATACGATTTCTGTTTTGGATTAGTGACCTTCTTTAAAATTCGATGAGCTCTCGGGAAATACATACGTGCAGTAGAGAAGTCTGCAATTATTGATCCTGCACAACTATTTGGTATGATGTTAAGCAAGCTACCTGGACAGGGACCACCAGCTGATAGCCTCGCGAATAAGATCGCCGAATTGAAATCCGATATACATTCTTTCGTATACAACGTCGTGCAATCTCCTGGATCATTTTGACCTTTGACTGTCACATTTCTTGGCACGTTTGTGAAAAGAATCACGCATGTTTGCCATGAGGAATTGGAGGGAAAAATATTATCTTGTGTATCGAATGAGATCACTGTATTCGTCACAGTTTCCTTGGCAGTCCATGGAACTTCGGTGACGTTGATTCTTGTATCCCAGCTCACTATCTGACCTGTAGGGGGAGCCACAGACGTATTGACGCTGTATAATGGGCCGCTTCCCGTGGCGTTAGGGGATTGATTATATTCTTCAAAGTAGGAGGCATTTTGCCAAGGTCCTGGTCCAGTTCCGATACTTTCTAATAAAGAACCATATCGAGCAGAGGCAAAAGATACAAGAAACGCAGTTATGAAGGGGAGGTGGAAATACATTTTGAATGTTGTTGATGAAACTACATCGTGATTTTGGAAATCGTAGGTTCTTTATATCCAGACAATCATCTTCACCCTTAGGACATAGCATAAACAGTGATACATGCCTACTTTCCTGGCAAATGACGTCATTCAAACCTCTTTTAGCAATCGCAGTAGGAAATCTTATCCGAAGCTTCTTCCTTTCTCCCTCATGGCAGGTCGATAGTAAGCAAGGCTCAAAATACTAGTTCGTAAAATGGCCTTGATCGACATCAGTATGGATTCGAAGGATTAAGCAGTACAATGATCTACACTCGTATCTCGGGTCAGTACTTGCAACGGACTTGGCCGAGCTTAGCTTTGACCTGAGAAAAAATCATACTGGCTCGCGGTTGTGGAGAAGCAGTGATGTGGCACAGGCAATGGTAGTCACGTTTTTAAAAACGTGGTTTTACTTGGCTAGCGATGGATTTGACACCCAGATGAAGACGGCTGATATAAGATATTATATGCATCGGATGGTAAAGCGAGTAAGAGATGAAGAGGGGGACGATCGTACTCAGCTGATATATACAACAGCCTCAAATAGGACTTTGTTGTCTCGGAACTTTGATCCTCCGATCCCGACATCACATTCTTCCTCCCTTTCCTCACTGCGACCTTTTCTCCATCAGCAGCATTCCGTCAATAAGACATCGGGAACGACCATCTTTTGACACCGTCAGTAGAAAGATTTTTGATTCCAGACTCTGTTAGATCTCCTACTTCTTTCAAATGTTGCCGAAGCTCAACACAAACGCGAGTCGGCCCGTCAAAATTAACCTTGTGATCAGCAAACATATCATTCTCTTCTCAAAACACAATATCTGCAATTTCACCCAAATCCGATGACCTCTCCAAATTATCCTGTCGAGAAATACAAACGACAATAAACGCCGCGTCATTTTGTGAATGATTTCCCCGGATAAATGCTTGTTTCATACCCCACAGTCTTGGAAAGGCGTTCCTGAGTGGGAATCTAGACGGGCTAATCTATGACCATAAATATCTACTGCGTAGTTTCAGATTTAGGGATGCATGATGCATATGCTGAGTGTAACGTTTGTTTTGTTGACATTCTTTTAAGTGTCAAAATTGTCAAATTTGGCTATGTAGCCAATCGAAGTTTTTCTCCTCGTGAGTCTAGGACCACATGGTGAAATCTCCCCGACGGCTTAGTTCACAAACGCAATTTAAAGCAACAACGAGTACTACTCGGGAGGTATTATCTGGTGCTGAAGACACACATGATACACCTGTTGGTTTTGGTTCGCATCTACCTATTTCTCATGATTAGGTGAAATATCTGGTCTCTTTGGAGGAAGTGATTGTACCCCAATTCCGTCTAATCGTATTAAAATTTCCTAAACAATCCCAACATGGGAAGTCGCCTCCATCCCCTTCCTCAGATTGAATCCTGTCATATTTGAAATCTCCGGCGTTCGTTCAGCTTAGCGAGGACGCCAAGTACAAAGTTACAGTATGATGGAACTTCTTAATTGATACGTTGCTCTGTTCAGAGATTGTACTTTTCTTCAACATATCATCTGGTAGCTAGTAGGTAGTATAGATCATAGTACATATGATCTTTCATCCCTCGCTAATCAGTAAATTAGCATATTTGCGGGGGGAATAGGTCGTCTGCTGTTAGTTATTCAATTAGGTATTCACGCCGCTGCGTATGTTTCTCAAATGTCAATATAATATCATCACACCCAATAGCAGCAAAGCGTGCAAAGATCATTACCGTCTGTGCAACGTCGTGAGGTGAAAGTGAATAACTCGCACTGTTCTCGTGGCCAATTTTGACGATCACCTAGGATAGTAGGAATATTGGTTCCTGTAGATTACCGACTCTACCTGCAAAGAACCTCTGAATGATAAAAGCAACCACTTCTGTCCTTTCCATCTTTCCGTTTTACTTTCATTTTTACAGAAACCATACTTTTCTAACAATTAAACTTCATCAAATAACCTACTCTTCTCACGTCTTCACTTCCAGTAGTTCGCGATACTAGCGACTATGGTGTTATCTACTAAAGCCTTCTGGAAAGCTATTTTGCTAATATTCTCTGCAACTTTTGCTATTGCAGCTCCCACATCTTATGATGTAGTTCCTATTGAGGAAAGACAGTCTTATGATAGACTTGTCTTTTGTCACTTCATGGCAAGTAGAGCTTGAAATTTCAAGGCAACCTTTTTCTGCCCGTCCGATGTCGTCTTTCATCTCACTCATCTACTAACCTTTTCTCAAGATTGGTATTGTAGGTGAACGGGTCGGTCCCCAAGATTACGATGGCGATATGCAGCGTGCCAAATCTCTCGGTATCGATGCCTTTGCTTTGAACATCGGAGTTGACCCATACACGGACACACAACTTGGCTTCGCATATCAGTCTGCCGCCAATAATGAAATGAAAGTTTTTATATCTTTTGACTTCAATTGGTGGAACCCGTCCAGTCAAGCAACGCAGATTGGACAAATGATTGCAAAATATGCAGCTTTACCAGCTCAACTATTTGTTGATGGCAAAGCATTTGCATCATCATTCGCCGGTGACCAACTTGATATCACGGCTCTAAGAGCTGGCGCGGGTATTCCAATTTTCTTTGCGCCTAACTTTCACCCGGAGATGGGAACAAACTTCAGTTCAATTGATGGCGCTTTGAACTGGTTGGTTAGTAGTTCTCCTTCTCCACCCGGATCAAAACTAAAAGCGTTTTTAGGGATGGCCCAACGATGGAAACAACAAAGCACCCACTCCAGGCCACAACGTCACTGTTGAAGAAGGTGATGCCGCCTACATCAAGGCACTGGCTGGCAAGCCATATATTGCACGTATGTATTCGGCGTCTAAGTGGAATATGAAAACTAAGGTAGTCTTTTAGCGGTTTCTCCTTGGTTCAGCACTCATTTCGGACCCGTGAGTTGTATCCGTCTATCATCATGAAGAATTGAGTTGACAACTTCAAAGGAAGTTCCATACAGCAAAAACTGGATCTTTCCATCTGATCTTTTATGGTTTGATCGTTGGAACGAAATATTGACCCTTGGACCCCAGTATATTGAGATTGTTACCTGGAATGACTATGGCGAATCTCACTATATTGGTCCCCTGGATTCTTTACATTTCGATGATGGAAATTCAAAATGGGTCAACGATATGTGAGTGCTGTATAGTAAATATAAGAGACTAGGAGCTGACACGAATAGGCCTCACGATGGTTGGTTAGACATGGCAAAACCATTCATCGCTGCTTATCATGCTGGTGCTTCATCTCCGAACAGCTACATTGATTCCGATCAGCTCATATATTGGTATCGACCAAATCTCCGCACTCTTAACTGTGATGCTACAGATACTACAATGGTACCAGCTAGCAATAGTAGTGGAAATTACTTTCAAGGTAGACCAAATGGATGGGAAGACATGCAAGACTCGGTATTTGTTGTCGCTATGCTCACAGCTCCCGGAATCGTCACAGTAATGTCCGGCGACAATGTTCAACAATTCAACGCACCAGCCGGAGCTTCAGCATACCAAGTTGATATGCGAGTCGGCAAACAGCAATTCTTCCTTCAACGTGGCACTCAAATTTTACTTGAAGCTGTTAGTCTTCATGATGTCACAGATGTTTGCATCTGTGGCATTTACAACTTTAACGCATATGTTGGGACAGTACCAGATGGACGTTCTGATCCACTTCTTCACGATGGTTTAGCTTCTCTTACTGCTGGACTTCATGTTAGCACGTGTAGCGCCACGCCATCATTGCCAACTGCTCCCATTAAACCCACAACCACCCCACCAGGAGGAGGAACTGTGGTTCCGCCAACTACTACCAAACCTCCAACTACTACCCCGCCAGTCACCACTCCCTCTACGACTACGAAGCCGACCACAACTACTACAACTAAGTAGGTCTTTCTATTCTATCGCCTCGCAAAATCTAACATAGTAATATAGGACAACTTCTACGACATCATCCGTGCCATCCGGTACATGTGTAGCAGGAACTGGACCTGGAAACTACGTCGGCTTATGTTCATTCTCATGTAATTTAGGATACTGTCCCACCCCATGCACATGCTCTAGTTACGCTGCTATTGGAAACGTCGCTCCACCAGTAACCAACACGCCCGGCTATCCCCTCGCTGGCGAGGATCCCGCAACTTACTCAGGTCTATGCAATTTCACATGTAACCACGGTTACTGTCCCCCAACCGCTTGCACATACAATCCTAACGGCTCTCCTATCTCATCTTCATCTTCATCTTCATCCCCAACTTCCACACCTCCTTCCACAACAACAAGTATACCCACCACCACTTCCACACCTCCTTCCACAACAACAAGTAAACCCACCACCACTTCCACAACCAGCACATCCACAACCTCATCTTCTCCATCCGGAACCTCCTATTGCGTAGCAGGCACCGGACCAGGAAATTACATCGGCCTCTGCAATTTCTGCTGCAAATATAGTTACTGTCCTCCAGGTCCCTGTACATGTACAACTTATGCGAATACATCTATTCCGGCACCACCGGCTAGTAGTCCTTCTGGAAAACCGTTGCAAGGTGAGGATGATAGTTATTTGGGACTTTGTGCCTTTGCTTGTAGTCATGGGTATTGTCCTGGTACTGCTTGTGCTATGGGCTAGATAGAGGAATGAGGGATGGTTTATGTGATTTGGGTGTTATTTGTGGGATGTTTTTGGTATCGTTTTCAAGCGATGGGATGTAATTCATTAGGGAATAGATGGAAATGAGGGGGATTTCTTTGATTTGTATGGTGATAGTTTCGTAGGAAGTAGAATGTACATGAGATAGATTTTCTGAGTAATTTAATTCTTTTAAGCCACTTCCTCCTGGGTCTGGGTTGCTTCATACATGTAGAGGGATTTCTATAGATGAATGGATACTAAAGATATATCATGATTTTGTAGACTCTTAGATCTTCCCACGTCTTTAAAGTGTTAATTAGTCCGTGCAAATTCAAACCCGTTGAGGTATACATAATATGCCAAGGGCAATTAACATAAGTAAGTTTATAGATATTTGTTTTATATTCCTGTAAAATCTTACCATTGTGTAGGAAGATAGTTAGAAATATAAATTGGTGCTATTGTGGTGGTGATGGGTCATTGTATATTAATTCATAATTTGTGAAAACAACTAGTATGTTTCCTGGAAGCGGGGTAATTATAACGAATAATCTCTTTTATTTTGTTGTATAATGTGTGAAGAAACCGTGTTTGTATGTGAATGGAAGATTCAATCATTTGTAGCATTACTGAGTCTATTAATCATTAGGTATTGCCTCTTATGAATTAAATTAGTATGAAGTTGACTTTCTGTATACGCATGGTTTGCTCTTTGATTTAGCGAAGCGTTGAGATCATTTGAATATCGGTGGTGGGAATGAGGTGTAGGGAAATTTTCCCGATTGAATACATGTTTCTAGTCTATTTGGTTAGGGTGGTAGGAAATACTTTGTCACTATTTACTTTTTCTATTCTTATTAGATGTACTTATTCTACTGAAATTTCATATCGTTAATATCATCAATACGGCAAGACACTTTACGCCAGAGTGCCGAAGCGAGGATGATGAAGAACCAGACAAATCCCAAGCTTTTTCATTTCTCATTACTCGAATTTTAAAACTACCCTTTTTTGATTCTTTCAAAGAGGACTCCAGTAGCGAATCCACAGAACATTTTCCCCTCATATGACACCCCTGAACACTATTCAAATCTCAATCACTCCCCATTCTTTTTCTCGGGCCATCGATCCAAAACCACTTCCTCCCCCTTCAAAGTAAAACTCCATTCATCCTTACCATCAACATCAACTAGCACCTTATAATCCCCCGGATACAAAACCAAATCCCCCTTCTCATTTCCCCTCGCCAAACTCGCAAGATTCAATTTTAATTGTGCGGTGGAACTCGCACCCCCTTTAATATCATGAAGTCTCGTGTATGCCACTAGGGATTTTTTAGGATATGGAGTTGGACCGAAGGAACCTGTGAGGAAGAGGAGAGTTACGTAGTCCGATGTTGTGGTGCCGGTGTTTGAGATGGATATAGGGAGGGTGAGGAAAGGTGTTAGATCTTTGTGTGTTGATGTGTTGGAAATGAGATGAGAGATTTCGAAGGTGTTGGATGAGGGAGGTGTAATTTTAGCGTTGAATGTGGTATAGTGTAATCCGAACCCGAAATCGAAGATAGAGGTTCCGTTGTACCATTTGTAAGTTCGCCCGGGGTTGCTTGCGCCAGGGTGTAAGTTCATATCGTTCATGGAAACTTCGTTCACGTAATCGCTGGGATATTGGGTAATGGGTAGACGACCTGCTGGTGCGGTTTTCCCCGTTAGGATGTTGAAAATGGCGGTTCCGCCGTCTTGACCAGGGTAGCCGGCCCAAATCAGGGCATTGACGCCTGGGTTTGTCAGGAGGGAGGAGGAATCTATCATGGTGCCCATTTGGGAAATAATGAGTGGATTAGAGAGATTAGCGAGCTGATTAATGAGGGAAAGCTGTGTGGAGGGCCATGCAATGGTTTTTCGGTCCTATCATCAAAAGAGTTAGTCAAAATCAACCCGTCTATACCCTTTTTTTTATGTACCTTTGCTTCAGCTTCAATAGAGTTATCAATTCCGCCAATATATATGATGACATCAGCTTTCTTTGCCGCAGCTATAGCTGCCGTAAACTCCGTGATATTTGTGGAATCTATATCTGCACCTTGGACATATGTAACATTGAAACCTGTGTTTTGTACTGCGATCAATGGAGAGTGCAAATACGGAGCTTGACCATAATAGTTGCCCTGCATCTGTGTTGTAGCATTGGCCCATGGTCCAATCAATGCCACATTTGTGATATTCGAGAACAATGGAAGTATTCCATCATTCTTGAGTAGAACAATACCATCTTCTGCCGCCTGGAGTGCAAGTTGTTCAGCAGTAGGTGTAGAAACATCAGACCATCCAAGTTGGCGATAAGGTTGAATAGATGCGGGATCAAAATATCCGAGCCGGACAAGCGATGCGTATCTTCGGATAAGTGATCGGTCAAGGGTAGATATGTTATATAGACTTTGATTGTATGCTGAGCCTAAATAGGTTGGCCAGAAACTACCACAGTCAAGATCGGTTCCCGCGTTTAAGGCGTCTGCAGCTGCTTGCTCTGGGGTTGAAGTATAGTTGTGGGAGTCCCAGATATTTTGAACGGCATCGCAGTCGCCTAAATGTATTAGTGCCTATAAATTTTATGAGAAAAAAGAACGTTGCTTACTAGTTACCCACTGATCCTCTTCCACCCAGCCCCAATGCTCCCTCAAAAGCGTTTGCAGTAACCAATCATCCGCACAAGTCGGAACTCCATTAACTGCATTATAACTACACATAATGCTCTGAACATTTGAATCTCTAGCGCACTGCTGAAAAGATGGAAGATAATAATCTCTCAGATCTTGAGAATTAATAATAGCATCAAACGCGTATCGCTGGATGCCGCCACCATTCTCGAGATCATATCCTGCGTAATGTTTGCAGGTTGCTACCCCTTTCTTATATGGTAGATCATCTAATCCACCTTGAAGTCCAGTCACTAAAGCATTGACGTAACTGGAGACGTGAAATGGGTCTTCACCAGGAGTTTCCTGCCCACGACCCCAGCGGGGGTCTTTGTAGGGATTGATGTTGGGTGTCCAGAAATTGAGACCATAACGATTGGCATTGCTAAAAGCTCGCGCTTCCGTTGAAATCTGAGAAGCTACATCGTGGATCAATGCGTCGTCAAATGCAGCGCCCATTAGAATCGGTTGAGGAAAGGATGTTGCATAAGAGTAATTGGAGCCAGCTGCTGCAAAATGAGTTCCATAAGCTATGCCATGGAGAGCTTCATTCCACCTGACAACTTTCTTTAGCCATATATTTTGGGGATTACTGTTAAAACTTACCATTGATATGCTGGGAGACCTATCCTTGGAACACCAGGACTTGTATTTCCTGTATTATTGATTTTCTCTGCCAGAGTAAATAACGATACTAGCTAAAAGATATCAGTAACAAGCGTAGTAAGAAGTTAAAAATACCAACTTACAGCTGTGGCTCTCGTATAAGGATCAACGGTCTCATCACAAACTGTATTGTTGGCCAGCTGATAATCATTCGTAAGTAAAAGCGCATTCAAGATTGTAGTTCGATGGAACAGTGATACTCACAGGACCATGCACACAATCGGGAAACTTTTGCGCAATAGCGCCAGTGATACCAATGGTACTAAGTATGTTTAAACTCTTCATTGTAAAAGCAATGATATTATGTGGAGTAAAAGGAAGCAAGTTAATGAATGTCTGAAGACATGACACTTTCACGATGTCTATCGAGACAAGAACAGTATATATACTCACAGTTCACTCAAATCAGCATGACATGATTCGAAGATAATTTTGATTTTCATAATCTGCTTAACTCAGTGTAACATGTTTTGAAGCTTCATTTGATCGATAGCGGAGAGTGAGGAGAATAACGCTTTTAGGCTGAAGTCTAATGCTGCTGCATATCGTGTTGCATTGGTGCAGTTACTATTTTTGCTCTCATTCTTTATAATTTGCTTCATAAAATGAGGTGGTGCATACGAGGTGCGGGGAGGAATCTGCATGGTGATGATCAATTCGGCATCTTGAGTCGGAAGAGACGGAAATGAATCTCGTACGTGGAGATATTACCTGCGATCGGCAATGAATTGATTTTGCCGGCGGCCGCCGGATATGCTCTGCAAGAGAATCAGTTTGAACGACTGAAAGCTCCAGCATTAGCAAAAGAGTAAGAAATCCTTTAGTCTTGGTCAAATAAGTCGTGAAATCAATGGTTGGGGACCGAGAGTAGGAAAAAGATTTCAAATATTTCCCATTATCTGAACATGGTAAGATATTTCCCGGGATCTGTTCAGCAGCCCACGCAACAAAGATTCAGAAGATCTTATCCCACACCGTTTTTACAAAATTCTTCTCTTCCTCCATGAGATCCGATGTCTCCTTCCATCGACGTATGGATTCTAGCTCGGGCTCGAAGTCTATGCTTTCCAATGGAATGACTTTAGATTTAAGGACTAACTTGAAGAAAGCGTATAGTACTGGGAGCCAATTTGTTAACATTCTTTTCTTTGCGAGACCTAGATCAAGCTTACCAATGAAAATTGCAATGTTGATATAATATGTCAAGAAACCAGAGGCTGTGAAGTTTCCAGGAAAGAACACAGCAAATCCTGAGTGGTCCGTTAGCACGAGACAATCTTTCTTCAGGTAGTTAATCGTACCGGAGAAGAGGACGATTAGAAATACCATGAATCCTGTGATCCATGCTACGTAAGGCTGGAATGGACTTTTGTAGGGTAATTCTACGATATCGTTAGTGATTGGAGTATTAGGAGCGCCGAGAATTCTCATACCATCACGAAAAATACCCTGTTTTTTCAAAGCATAGAAGAATCTGAGATAGGTAACCTCGATAATGACCCATCCAATTAACCCAGCTACTGTGGTAATGTTTACAAACCACCCAAAGACAACCGATGCCTGGTTACTAACAACCATGTACACAAGAGGTGATGGGAGAACACTCAATCCCACAGCATACCACGGGGTTCCAAATCGATTACACTTCATGAATATCTTTGGAGCATGGCCATCGGCACTCAAACCATAAAGTGTGCGAGATGCCAGGAATATACAAGCGGATCCACTACTGATAGCCGATGTGCAGACAACAGCGTTGATGACGGAAGGAAGGACCTTAATCCCAGCCGCTTTGAAAGCGATAACAAAAGGAGACGACGCAGCTGTTCCGGTGGAAACAGATAGAGCTTCACTATCATACGGACTAGAAATTGTTAGTAAAATGGAACGAGATAAAGGATAATTACTTACACTATCATCCCCACTATTAAGATACTCAATACATAGAAGAAAAAGACACGGAAGAATGTCTTCTTCGTGGCATCTGGAATTATCTTTCGGGGATCCGCAGTTTCTGTACCTGAAAGTGCTACCACTTGAACATTACCATAACTGAAAGCAGCACTGATCAGAGACGACCAGAAGGCGAGGAATCGACCAGTATTACCACTAACTAGGTATTCGTTGAAAGCGCCTGGAGATTTCCAATAATTAAACCCAAGTCTTTCTCCCTGTGGTCCACCGCCAAGATCTACAACCAGTCCTGCAACAATGAGACCGATGATGAGGGCAATCTTCATGGAAGCGAAAATTACCTCGGACTAAGATCGCATGATTAGTTCTAGTACGATAGACAGCTTGTAGTTCGTAGAACTTACTTCACCATACATCCGTACACCGCAGAAGTTGAGGCATACTATGACTACCAGAAATACAGTTATCCAGACCGCTGGATTTGTGCTCGAATCCCAAAATTGTATAAGTGTCGCAGCTGCACTGAGTTCAGCTGGCACTGAGATAGCCATTGTATACCCTAGTTTTCATAAGATAAATGAATCACAAATGGTATTGTTTAAACGTACAGAAGTTCCACCCTGTCGCTGCTCCTAGAGCAGGCTCCACAAAAGCGGTAGCATGACGCACGAATCCGCCAGTGACTGGCATGAACGCAGTGATCTCGCCAGTTGTGTACTACCGTTTGCGAAATTAGTCCACCGAATTCATGAATGTAGAGATCCTCGAAACCTACGCTAACTCCCGCAGTCACAAATCCCATGAAGATGTATGCAAGCCATGCACCGGCAGGACCAGCTCTCGCGATTGTGGTACCTGAACTCAAAAAGAGACCGGTTCCCTTGTTTACACTTTCAGTTCATCATTCCTGTAATTTCTGCTCGGGAACCCTTACAATCATACCAGCAATCGCTATCATATTGATATGGCGCCCCTCCAAATCCCGCTTGAGTTCCTGCCCGGCACCTATATCATCGGTTGAGCCCATCTCGGTATCAACATCAGTCGTAGGATGAGAGAATACTTCAGACTTCATGATCGGTGATTTTGGATCTACCGATCCAGTTGAACTCGAATTCATGAATAGAAGTTAATTGCAATTAATGGGCTACCCTTGGTAAATCCTTGCAATGTTGAGGGCAAATATTCTGATGTCAAGTGGACTTTCCTCGACATGATATATAATTCAAGGGGTTCAGAACCTCCATTGAGCTCAGATAGTGCATATTGAAACAGGTATGGTCGAAGTACGTTAATAATCTACAAGTATCTTGCAGATGATGCATCGCGAAGATAAGCAGGATGTAAGGATCGGTGTTCAAAAGTGATAAGCAAAATATCGGGGATTATTAAGACCCTGATGGGGGCAGTGGGACTAACAACTCAGGGGTGTTTTAGCGCCTCGGTGTTCAAAATGATAAGCTATTTCCCCACCAAGAATTATTGATAACCTTCAAACATGCCTGTCTTCATCATGAGTTATGTATGTAAAGATGAGCGGCAAGATGCGGAAAGAGAAAAGATGAATGGGAAGTCTATATACTGAAAAGCAGACGCTTCAGTTGGGGCAAAATGTGAACTTTTACTTTCAATCCAGATGAAGACTCTTAACGATCAATCAATCGATCCCCCCTTCATTGCACCACATTTCGGCAATATGGGAGCCGAAAACTATGTTGTGAACTCTCCGGCGAAAGCTGCTCATGTCAATATGATGACAGATTGTATAATTGCAAACATGCCAGCGGAAGGTCTGCGGTCGATACTCCGGGGCATCTTAGGAGAAAACACTTCTAATACAGCTTGTCTCACGAAACTGGCATCGAAATATCTCGCAAACACCCGGCCATCATCTGTACCGGAATTATTTACCACATCTGAAGGATCACCAAAACCAACCATAGATTTTCAGCGGATACAAAGCAGATACAGGTGTCTGATGGGCTGTGGATTTGGGTTCGAAAGTGTGGAGCTTCTCACGAGCGTCATACAACAAATACAAAGGTTGGAGTGGGATGGGAAAACCAATGAAGGGGAAGATTTTCTAGATGTTCTCGCAGCAATCGATGGGGATATTGTGCAATCGACGACAGCAGTACATAAATCACTTCTTACCAGTTCTGGGATACGTCCAATGGCCACCAAGGATTCACAAACCACTGCAGCACTGCGAGGAGCACTTTATACTTGCAAAGGGATCGGAATTAGTCGCGGGCAAGAATTTCCTTTTGAGCGTGGCTTATGCTGTCTTGAGAAGTTGGTTGAAGGAACAGGAAACGGAGGTCAATCTCAGAAAAAGAACAAAGTCCCTCTAACATACGGATTTCATTCATCCAAAAGCACACTAGAATCATTCCAACTGGGATCAGCTGAAGTACCTAGAATGTTCATGGGGCTATGGCAGTTCTCCAGTCCTGCTTGGGGAAGTGCTTCTAGATCGAAGATTGATCACCATTTTAGGAAGCACGTGGATTCTGGACTGATCGCATATGATATGGCTGACCATTATGGTGATGCTGAAGTCACCTTCGTGAGTGAACATACTATCAGTGTAAGTTAGCTTGCTAACAGAGCTTTAGGGGCAATTTCGGTCTGTGCAAGAGGACTCAGAAAAAATATACTGTGCTACAAAATGGGCAGTCTTTGAACCTATCAAGGTAACTAAAGAAGTTGTGGATGCGAACATATCTGAGCGTCTCGCTGCGATCAATTCTACAACTGTGGAATTGCTCCAATTTCACTGGCAAGACGTACGTGACATCTAGCTTTCATAGTGGAAAAGAATATTAACGAGCAGTGTAGTACAATGACCATCAATACGTGGAAGCAGCAAGATTAATAGACGAGCATCCTAACGTCCAGAATCTGGGCCTCTGCAATTTTGACACAGATCACATGTGCAAAATTCTGGAGAGCGGCATCAAGGCAGTTTCAAACCAAGTTCAGTTCTCTCTAATAGACTTGCGACCCACATTCAAGATGGCAGAAAGTTGTAGAAAACACAAAGTCAAACTCCTCACTTATGGCTCATTATGCGGAGGATTTCTAGCAGATAAATGGGTCGGAAAACCTGCTCCTAACCTATTCGACGAGAATATGACCCCAAGCCATCGCAAATACTTCGAAATGATCACCATATGGGGAGGGTGGATACTTTTTCAGGAACTACTTCATGTTCTCGCATCAATTGGCTCCAAGCACAACGTCTCTGTTTCAAGTGTGGCGATTAGGTGGATCCTAGATCACGATTATGTTGGAGCTGTGATAATCGGCGCAAGAATGGGAATCAGCGAGCATATTGATGAGAATCTCAAAGCCTTTTCCTTCAAGCTCGACGTGGAGGATAAAGAAGCGATACAACGGGTGTTGGATAAATCAAAAGCAACGGATGTTTTCGAGGCGATGGGTGATTGTGGGGCGGAATATAGACAGTAATCTGAGAACGATAATTATTTGCAAATAATAAACCTTCGAAGGATAACATTACACAGCATATGAATGGGCACACTTTAGTAACGTGTAATAATGTGCTGTCACGTGTTGAACGTTACTATTGTCTTCGCCAATGCGAACGCTAAAACTTCCTAAATCAAAGCATCCTCCTTCATTTCATTTCCGGGCCTTCCAGCATCGAGATAGTTGGTTTCTTTTGCCCAATTGCGCTTCTTGGTAACAATCCAAGAGATACGAATTCAGCAGAATTATTGAACGCACACATACATGTATGTGGCCACCAGCATCCAAAAGTGGGATACAGCCAACCCAGGTTCCTGATAAGCTATCTATCTATCTTCCCCGGAGATTTATCTAGATTAGTACAATACGCCCTGAATATCAAATCTGATTGATATGTATTTGATGGGGTTGGCATCACATTTGTGGCTGGAATGAAATGTCACCAAGATGAATTCTCTGAAAATAATGCCTTCATCACAGCCTATGAACACAAGCCATTCTGGCTCGAAATTACCCAGGCAAGTCATACTCGCACACAGTTTAAGATTTAAATCCTGACAACAATATCTCAGCCAGATAGCCTGCTTAACATGCAGAAGTGTAAAATTGAAATGTAGAACTACTACTACCGGTGAGAAATGTGAACGATGCAAACGAAAGTCACTTGAGTGTGTGTTTGAGCAGCACCGCAGGGGAAGAAAGCCAGGCACAAGGTATTATCGATCTTAATATATTGCAATACATTGTGTGTCTGGCACTTACTTCCATTAGGATAAAACGAAATACTTACCGAGCAAATACACAAATTGCAAAGACACCGATTTCCGATCAAGAAAATTTGTCTTCAACGACAAGACATTTGTGTGGTGATACTCGAAGTCCCAAACCAAGTAGTGCAGCGGATGTTTCTCCACCTCAAACCGCACAGTCTTGGGACAATGGAGGACTGCAACAAGTTGGGATACTAAGCAGAGAAGCTCAGTTCGGAAAGTTCTCTTTAGAAAACATACTCTGTGTACCAGATGTTCTGAGACCTCACCATCCAACGAGGCCGCCAACTCGCAGTGCGGATAGCTTTGATGATCCGATCACCTGTAACATGCTCAGTTTTCCTGTTGCATTGGGATTATTTGACAGGTAAATACATTGTTCACGACCCTCTCACGGAGGAAGAAGTATCAGGCGGTTTCGTTGCAACACTGACGAAGAGTAGCTTCATGCGTTGTTTAAATCCATACATTTGTCAACTAGATACCAAGCTCCATACCTTTGACTACGTTCGCCAACGCTCATCATTCCTCCTCACAGCAATTCTGTCAGCTTCCTCTAAGGCTTTTCACCCTGCACTTCATCCCACACTTAGGTCTCATACCGAGAATTTACTTGGGAAGGTATTTGCGCGGGGAATCAAGTCCACAGAAACTGTACAAGCAATCCTGATCTTCACTTACTGGAAGGAGCCGGAGGAGATACGTACTTGGTCACTTGTTGGTTATGCTATTCGTATGTGTATTGAGCTTGGATGGCACGAAATAGAGCCAGTATCACATAAGCCGCGAACTTCAGCGGATGAAGTTACTATTAGGGAAGCTAGAAACATTGAGAGGACATGGTTAGTATTGTTTGTGTATGATCGAAGGTTAGTCTTCCATCCAGTATGAAATCATGATGTGAAATCTAATCCGGCGCAGTTTGAGCCTACAACTCGATAAACCATGGATGATAGCCCAGAACAATTTGATTTCTAAGGCGAACGAATGGTATCAAGAAGCATATGCTGTACCTGGCGGAGATATGCTCCTCTCAGCATTCGTCTGTCTACGAGTAATAGGTGCTGAGATGCTCGAGCTTGCATCATCCATGAAGTTAAAAGCTCAAAGTCCTCGGTCAGAAGTGTTATCTCGACTCCTGAATACTGAAATTAGCAGGTGGGAAAAGGATTGGTTGTGCAAGTTTGAAGATGGTTTGCCAATTTCAACATCCAATATCTTGTACATAACTAACTAATTCCACCAGAGACTGTTGCCGCTCCACAGCAGTTCCTTGCCAACTTCTATGGTTTACATCTTCGACTTCTTCTCAATTCGTATATTTTACAACAATCTCTCCATTCTGCGAGGAAAGGAACTGCAGTGTCGAAGTCAGCATTATGGCAATGTTCATCAAGCGCAATTGGCATGCTAGATAACATTTCTAAAGTTATAGGGCCTCTCAAGCAGCTTTACTTTGTCCAAGATTCTGTGCATGTGATGACTGCTTATGCTGCAATTTTCCTCATAAAGGTATCTCACTTACATTCTCCAAGTTTCTAATGAATTGACGTAATAATCTGACCGCTTAAAATTATAGCTACTTGTGTCTCTTCCCAAGAACCTGCGTTCTGACCTCGAGACACAGTCATTACAAGCGATTCTCCTCTCTTCTGATACATTCTCTCAGCAATGCGCCACACAGATGACTGGTTGTGCCATGCAAGCACGGTTTCTCAAGAGTCTCGTGGAGAAATATCAGATCTTGAAATATCAAGCTAGGAATAAAACCCCAGATCGCAACAGCCATTCACATCAATCTGCTATATCACCAGTACAGACTTACCTCCATGATGATATGAATACCGCAAACCATACAATTCGCCAGATTCCCGAAACCACCGGACCTTATCAAGACACCGAAGATTTTGCAGAAACAAATTCAATAACAGACAGCACAACAGATTTCAGCACAGATACATCGGACGATAAGGAAATCTGGGAAGGTTTGCTGGCCGATGTTGGATTCTGGATGAGCGAGGGGAATTTCTTATCGGATAACATTCTCCTTCATTGAGTCCGAGGACATTCATTAACTCATGTTTTGGATGGGATCTACAATCTGATTTCCAGATGTCATTATCTCTATTATCGGGGTTCAAAAGTGGGGGATGCTGCATGCTGTGCGGGGAACCTGGAACCTGGATATCGATGATTGTTTAGAACACCGATGTTCTTCGGTGTCTTACGAGATTTTCGTGCGAATGGAATCTGGGGAGTTTAGAATCTGGTGGGATTGAAATTACCTAGCAAATATTAAAACAAACGTCAGAAGATGTATTCTAATCTGCAACCTCAAAGCTTGCGCCAATTTACTATCTCAGAATCAATTTCCAAATTCCGAAATCCATTACAACCACTGTGTACATAATTTATCCTCGCAACACTTCCGAACTCCAACACAGGTCACAAAAATGGCAACGTCATCTACGCCAACCGATGACTCCTTCCAACTTTACGATCTCCGCGTCGAAGTTGTTTGTCCTCCCTCGTCTAAAATTCTCTGTGGCGCCAAGGAAGGCGATCATTTTACCCTTGAGGGAGAGATGTTATATCTACCTGCTGGACAGGGAATCAGTATCTATAGTTTATGTTCGTCCTCTCTTCTCCCATACAATTTCCTCATCCCCCTATATGTAAACTCAAGCGAAATTAACAAATTGACAGCATCTGTACTTCCTCTCCTAGCAGCAAAACAACGTTCCACACATGCAAGTGATTGGATGACGACAGATGGTTTAATTGCATGTCCAGATCCTAACTGTGGGAGTCAGTTGAAAATTATAAGGACGGGTTTGAGGACGTTTAGACATGGGGAAACTACGGTGGTGGGATTGGAGGGGAATGTTTAGGGGATGGATACGTGATTTTGTAATGAGAGCTGGCAAGCAGCTTGATGGATAAATCATGAATCCGCTACTTGTGTCATTTTTGTATCGATGTAAAGGTCACAAATTATAAGATCTTACAAATATTGTTAAAGATCTGTTCATGATGAACCTAATTTGTTCTTGTCGGTGCGATGCAAAGGATCATCCACTTTCAGGGCTCATGTGGCGCAAACACGCTAAATATCTATGTCGCGTGGTCCCGTGATAGAAGCCTTACAGGGTATTTTGCAGGATTCCAAGCACTGAACCTCGCATGGCAATCACTAACGCAACGTAGTCATTCACGTGCCGTCTCGTAAGTAAGTCTTACAAATTAAGACACAAATCTCTTTCTCCTTCATTATCAATCTTCCATCTCGTTTACACATTTCCCAATACTGTCAAAATAATACCACATACATACCACAATGCACCATCTTAAGAAACTTCAAGAGGTAATTCGGCATCAGACTTCGCATCAGCAGCACCCTCCCGCGTCATTCAATACACACATTCCCAATACCGAATCATCTGCCTTAACTGAAAGAACATTTCAATACTTTTACTCGGAAAAGAACAACCAATTTCAGGGCAAAGTAAAGTCCGAAAGTACTCTTGGTGCAGAGAATGATTTCGGATATGTAGTATGGCCCGTCTCAATAATGCTTCATGCCACAGCCGATTGTCTCACTCCTCAGAGAATATCCCAAGCCGTCTCAGTGCATCAAGAATACTGGAACCCTGAACGCTATGCATTTTGCGCCTGGAAGATGTTTCCAGGAAATAATGACATTTATTATGATGATAATGCTCATGCGGTTCAAGCTTTCATATCTTCATTTGAAGCGACGGGTGAGACCAGATACTTGGACCAAGCGAGGGATATTTTATGCAATTTCATAATTCCATCTGGACGACATGATGGAGGTATTCCATGGCATATCTCCAACGATAAGGCTCGAGCAGCTTGTTCCACTGGGCCAGCCGCTATATCAGCCTTTAGACTAGCGAGAATCACTCACAATAATGATTTGATAGCCTTCGGTTTACGAGCATTAAATTGGCTTAAACAAAACTTGCAAGATCCCGAAGACAAGCTCATATGGGATCAATTGGCATATAAGGATGACGGATCGACGGAAATAAATAAAATGAAATGGACATACAATACCGGATTCGCTATTCACGGTTTCACCCTTGCATATGAAGCTACTGGCAACGAAGAACATTTGAGATCAGCAATAGAAATCGCGGAAGCGGCGCTAAACCCTGAATCACCCCTATTTGATCACTGCATTCCCGACACCTCCCAAAGAATGCTCTCAGATGGATCGTTCTTCCTCCATCATCTAGTCGACGGTTATGTCGCCCTTTCCAAGCATACCCACACTCAACAACTTCGACATGAAATCCATCGTATTGCGAATTGGGGAAGAGACTTCATATTAGACCCAGAGGATCAATTGTATTATCGCGGTAGTCGTCCGTATGCAATCTCTGAAGATCAGGTGAGAAAATTCAATGATAGGTTTGCTTTGAGCAAGACCCTGGAGATCAATGGACAGGAAAGGGATGAACAGGGAAATTTGTGCAAGACTATGCTTGGATGCGCGAGTTGGGCGAGAATACTTCATGCTGCGGAGACTGTCTAAGGGAGTAATTGCGAGGAAGGATAAGAACGTCCATGAATTTGACCAAAATGTATGAACGAATCAAGGCTTTCAAGTGTACGCAGTTCAAAATTTTTGCATCAGAAGAGTATATTTTCAATTACACCATTTTAGCATTCCGATAATCATCAGATGAAAATTTATAAGCGAGGCTAAGTTTCGTTTTTGCTAGTTGCTAGAACTTCACTAGAAGTTGTAGAGCAACGATTAGTCTGAGAGATGAAGAAGGAACTTTCTAGAAGGTCATGCTTCAAGCTGCACAAAGTTTCTGCATAAATAAACATCAGATTTCTTTCGACTTCCCTAGGTGTTAGAGCCAATTTTCTGCGGGAAACCACCCAAGAAGCGTCATATACACTCAGCTGTTCCCCCTTACATCATCATGTGTGTGAAATACAAGGCCCAGAAGCCCCAGCCGCCACAATCTCATCATCCGGCCACTCTGGAGTTCTATCCACCTCCAACTTGAATATCCCAGGACGTTTATAATGCCCACTAGCATCAATCCACACTTTTACACCTGCTAATTCCTCAAAATCAATCTCTGCCTTCAAGAGTTTTTCCTCAGCTCCCGTATGCGGACCCGCCAACACTGTACAAAATGGATGGATAACAGCACTCCAACCGCCTCCCCTCTTGACCAAATCCTGCGGTCCCAGATTTTTCTCCATCCATTCCAATGTCCCTTCATCTACATAATCACTCGCGCAAATAACCCATACCTGTGCCGTCAACGCATGATTCTTCATCAATGCCTCTATTTGCGCATCGGCCACCAATTCGAATCCAGATATAGTGCTAAGAGCAGGCCATGCCGCCGCGTGAATTTCCTGACGCTGCTCAATTAATACTTGACGTGCGTTATTCATTGTATTCTCCCAACATGCTAGTCCTCCCAGTCTACCTACACTACTAGGCCATACGCGTAATGTGTGTCCGCTTCCTTGGGCCCAGATCGTGCGCTCGGCATGCGTGGGTTGTATTTTTCGGTGTACACCTAGTAATGTTCCATCGGTATCAATGAAAGCTTGCGAGTTGAATAATGTATAGCCGCCATCAACCCGCTCCGAAATTCCAATGGAAATCGCAAGCTTCAGCTCGGCGCAAATGCGCATAATAGGTAGGAGATCTCCTCCAGTTTCTCCAACTACAACGCTTTCTTCTGCATATTGGGCTTGTGCACCAGCGTATTTGAGTGGTGCGTAGGTTTGAATGAAATACTGATCCATGCATTCTGTATCAGCACTGTACTTTAGCTTTAGACGGGTTCGGATGGAAAAATACCGGATATCCAGGTACAAAAGTTTCTGGGAATCCCAAGAAGTCGATTCCTTGATCTTTGCCTTCTTTGATGAGTCGAATAGCTTTTTCGATGCTGCGCTTCTTATCCATAAAAACTGGCGCGGCGTGAACAGCGGCTGCGGTGATCTTTTTCCCCATTTTTTTGAAAGATCGTTGATTGAGGTGGTGGAGATAAAATGATAATGATGAGAAGAAATAAAATGATAGGAATAGAAGGTTTGTTTCTGCGTAAGTGTTTGGATAAATTGGAAGTAAATCAGTGTTACACCACAGCAAGTATACCACATATCTGGCTACCCGCATGGTATCTCGTTTACCCCGCATCTAGGATTGCAGTGCTGTAACTCCATTTGCTGTGTGACATCACGGCACCTTGGAATAGAGTTCAAGACGTGACTGGCATGGTAAAATGCTTTTTAATACTAGGGAGATCAACTCACAGGCTGCCAAGTAAATCAGGGGTTCTTTGAGAAACCATGGCCTCCTTCTGCTAAAATGATGTGTAGACTGTAGGTTTTATGCTGGTATAGTGGTAATTATTTCGCTGAACGTAGATAAACACAGAGATAGAATCTCTTTTCTATTTTCTATAAGGTCAGAAAATACATGTCATGCTCAAATACGCCAAAATTGCTAAAGAAAGAGCGTGGAAGACAAACACGCTGGGAGAGCAGTAAAAAATCATATTGGCGTTTTAACTGATTATGAGTAGGTAGTGAAAGGAATTCGGAGGTTGAAGCTGTTCGCTCTCGTCTCTTGGTATTTGAACGGAGAACAAATAATTGTGAGTAGCCTCATTATACGCTTTATATTCGAAAGCGCTCGAGCTATAATGGGAGAAAACTAACTTATATTTCGAATAAGAAATATTGTTATAATTTGTATAATAACATTATCAAAATGAAAACTAATTATTTTATAAAAAAGTGATGATTATTTAATCATAAAAGATTATATAATTGATTAATTAAAAACCTTTATATATATAATTTATAATTTCAACTTTCTTATACTATAACAAGGATTTCCTTGAAGAATGACAATATTATTTAATTCTTATAAAGAGCTAATAGTCCGAGGATATTCATGTAAACACGGGACAAAAGTACATGAATAGTTTAGGGTATGTAACAGCATTTCAAAATACAGGGGTTTTTAATGGTATGCGGCAGCTTATGTCCTAACTTTGTTGATGTTCAGAATACCAAGATTGACAATTGGTACCTTTCTAAAATCGTAATTTTGTAGTGAAATGTAACTGTATATGTTTCATTCAAAGCTATTTTTAAGTATTATATTATGATACTTCAAAGGATAGTAAGAAATCGTCCAGGTCTATACTCAGAAAGTAAATTAATTATTAAGCTATATGTTGTGTGGCATTTTGACGTGTACCGTGACACAATTCACCGCTTTGGTCTTCTCATTCGATAAAAGCTTTCCTGATGATCTACAAGCATTGTTAAATGACCTCTTTTTTGATGAAATTAGCTAGAAGGGTTATTCATGGTAGTCATATACCGAGGCTACCGAGGTCAATTTTGAATACGGCTTACAAATTTTGACTCTCGCAGCAAACAAATGTATATAGTCGCTTGGAGAAACTCCTTTCTAAAAGAAAAATACAAAATTATTCAGCAATTATGAAGAGCATTGATGCTTTTGCACTTTGAAGCTATTCGTGTTACTGGAGGTTGAGACAAGTAGTACAATACAGTATGATGTACAAAGCAGAGGCCTATTCGTCCCTACAACAATGTGATGGTGCTGCACTGTTATCTTCCCAAAGTTTTGTTACTACTAGATTCTTATTTATGAAATATTAGACGGAGCTAGAGTAGAAACTAGACTTAGACTTGTACTATTCGAAGACATCGGACGAAGAAGGCTCCATTAGTTGACCCCAATCCTTTGCCAAAAAACATGCGACCGCGCAACCTAATCCATTTGATCATCTTGAATCCTAAATTTTGATACTAATGTAGCCTAATATAAGCAACTAAGAAATCACAAGCTCGAATTTGGAGTAGAAGCTGTAAATTTCAAGTTATACTGCATCACATGTATAATCAGCTACTGAGGCATCATGTGCAATATTTTAGATTTTAAGTTAACTTTTGTTCATGTCATAGTTATTGTGCTTTCATACCAGGATGAATCATTGCTCATAAATGGATGTTGTATACGAATACGGAGTTTTGAATCAATTTGAAAGTTTGAGAAGTTGTTATATAAAATGGATTTGGCTGGTGACCTGATACAAGAATCAAATTTTTTCGAGAATATCAGATTGACCTCCTTAAAACCAGAGTCGTTTAGAAACGCCATTGAGTTGTGAAGAAGCTGCAGTTCAAAGTGCGCTTTAGTATTGTGGAAGAGCACCAAGCTAGAGTAGAAAGTTCCATATTAGAAATCTCAGGATACATTCCAGCAATGAACCCGCATATAGTAAATTGCTTGGATTTCTCAATATAATAGATTGGCGTTATTAATCCGTCAAGATCAAAACCCGCAAACTTGGACGAATATCATATTCCGGTCCGAATTTCAGGTAACTTGTCGCAGATATAGCGTCTTAATAAGGATTTTTACTGTCAACTTTTAACGAGAAATGACGATAGTTGTTGATGAGACGGAAAACTAAATACAATGTTGAAATCACCAGTAACGTTCACGGATACGAAAGCATGACTATTTTCCTCCAAATTCCGACCCTATTCTCGACGATCTAACATCAATTGACACTACTGGTGCTTATGAGCAGAGCCTCGGACCTTAATATAAGCAGTGGATGGAGAGCTAGACGGTTGTGAGATAAGCGTGACATTACCGAAAAGGCTTGGCACTGTGCCTAGAATAAACAAAATACCTGTCGGTTGGAACGTATATGGGAAAGTCAAGTATCACATATTCTTTTGAATACTCGTTTTGATTTGCCTAAAGATCTAGAACTACCAAATGACTGAACTGTAATATAATACAGTCCCTCGTTGCCGAGGTGCTAGTGTCAGCACTTAGTGAATTCACGCTGTTAATATCCCTGACGATGCCAAATAAAATATTTTCGTGGTACTTAAGGAGACATACAAGAAGATTATTGCTATTGACAGCTTCTAACAGAAAAACAACAACCATCCAAGATGTTCCAGGGCATTCGAGGACACTCAGATATGTCGTACTACAACAGGATCAGTGAGATAATAATGTTCTGCATGCTAAATATTATTTCTGACAACATAAATTTCTATTTGTAATTGCTTTTTGTTGTCAAAATATATTTTCTCTCAAAATTTTAAAACGGTATCTTAAGGCATGTCGCTAGATTAAATCTACAGATTAAGGAATCAAAAATTAGTCTGAGCTAATTTCTGCATTCAAAGCGGGAGTACCGGTAAAGTTCCGCCAGTTTAGCGTTCAGGATTTGACTCCCTGGGTTCCAATGCAGGACAAAGATATTAAATAGAAAGCAAAGTGCGAAACAGAATCCTAAATGCAGAAGAATTCACCAATAATATGGGAATTTGGCTTACTACCGGGGCTGAAGTCCACACATGCTTTAGCCGTTAATGCACGAACGGTACCTAAATTTCCCAAACTAGGTTTATGAAATTGATGTCAAAGATAATAAATCGACTCTCTCCAATCGACAAGAAATTAAGGAAAGTAGGAGGGCTACATTTTATTCAGCTTTTCATATCTTTCAATGAATCATTGTCGAAATGTCGGAGAGTAGTTACGTCTGTCATTTTTGTAATTATTATAAATACATGGAAAAGACGAACAGGAGATAGGATTCATATTAATGGTCTAACTTACTTTCAACTATGACTTTCTATATCATCTCAGAGGAGGGAAACTTCCCAGCATGGTTTTGCTGCTTACGAAGATGACTTCTTTCTCCTCGCATTGCTTTTGGGACCACCTACACACTTGAATTAGCAAGAAAAATCCTGAGTTCTAAGGTAGGATATATGCAAAAGAACAAAGAGTAGAAACACAGAAAACGAATCGCGTGTAGAACTGGCATAAGCGAGCAAAGAGTCTGACAATAATAGCTCTACAAGCTTCCATTCTTGGCTAAACAAGCTCTGATCAATGTTCTGAAGTAAAATTGGCGGATAAGAATGCATAGTGATTGCTAATGTGCATCGGGTTCCTCGGGAGGGAATACTAAATGGCATTCACCGTAGGAGCCTCGGTTTCTACTTAGTATGCCAAGGTAGGCTATGTTCTTTCAATTCATAATAATTGCTCTTTCTAGTGAGGTTATTGAAAAGGCTTGAAGGTGATCTTACCTACATTGAGTAGTCCATGGGGAGTCTGGGTCAACTTCCCGAGCTAGAGGGATGAGCGCGATAACTACCCTTTCTCTCTAGTGAAGACAAAAATATCCTATACGATTTCGGAAGGGCTCATAGGGAAAGGAGTTCTTTAACTATAAGGTACAACTGTTTTGTTGTCAATCAATAATTAGAGAACAGCAAGTATCCGAAGAATATCTAGATAAGGATGTTTCGTTCTATTCTCTACACTATTATATAATACCTACGAAATCTTTTTTATGGTTTCGAGGACAAACTGACTATCGAATGACAAGAAAGATATCTATCTACCTATTGACTCATTAAAAGATTGTACATGCACATTGCAGACCACATACTAAGCTCACCTTTCATTCCATCACGGTAGCGATTTCAGAACCCAAGAAAGAGACTAAATCTCCGACCACCTCCTACCATGGAAAGTTTGAAGATGGAAATCAAAGTTCAATTGATGCTTAAATAGAATTCTCCAAAGGAAGCGACCGAGAAAAAACAAATTAGCTCGTCTTGGCAAAACTTGGGAATTAATGAGCATAGCCTCAAGCAAAGAGAGAAACTTGTTGGCGTAGATGGTAAAACTGCTTTCAGATTTGCTACCGTGAATCATCGCGATCTAAGAACTACAGCAAACTTCTGTATGATCTGAGTTATTCAGCCCCAAGTTATAATTAGAAGCCATGATTCACCATCGCTTATTATATTCAGGTCCCTGCTCCCCCTGACTTTACTTAAAAAGACAACTACCTCTCCTGCAAGACTAGATTATCAGATCGTTTTTTTCACCGATAGAGTATTTATATTTTGTGTGGAACTTTTGATTCAATTTGACATATATACAATGTAGACGGATAAATAATAAGATATTGAAACAGCATTAATAACATTAATGATATGCTTAAACATAGAAGAAACATAATGTATTACACTATTACATGAGGGCTATCGTCCAATAACGCACAACTTTCAACAGTAAAAAATAATAGAAGGTAACTGATAACTTTACTTCGGCCTGGAGACCTTGTTGAGAACTAATATCCTATATTTTATGAGTTTGTAGTAGGCTCCCATAGCAACTATCAAAAAGTGTCTGAGATGCTGACTCAATCATGGCGCATTCCAAGCAACAGGGTCTTCTAAACTACTTTTCTCTCGTTGGGAGTGATACAAGTATTTATACTTCCAGCCTTTCCTTTTTCAAAAAACCCAAGGGGGAGATAAGAAATGGGAAGCAATAAGTGAATACTTGTACGGTTCTAATAAAACTAAGGAGTCAGGTCCTGCGCCCCAATCAATGAATAATCCGCCAAGAAAAGAATAGCCACATGCTAATATCATTCCTAATTGGGTGTTTTCAACATCTAGTTCATGTGAAAATAAGCCTCGGTTGTCTAATCACTAAAACTTTCCAGTTGACAAAGACATCATTCACCATCGGTCCGTAACTCTCACATAGCCTCTCGTTCAGCTCAGGCTGCCTTTTGAAGTGTTCCAGCCATTCTAAAATGGATTCCTTTATGTCTCTGCCTATTTACGTACTTGAATTTTCCTCGATCGTTTATCGACGCTTGTCATTTTCAATCTACTTATATCTCACAGCTTGCAACTATTGTAGCATTCAACCACAGAAAGCCAAGTAGTAGTTTCATACACACCGCTAACTTTCGTCCGCATCCAGTGCCCCTCAAAGTCAAATGACGATGACAAGAAAATCATGAAACTGTGATATCTCTCTCTGAATCCACAGATGACTGTGCTGTTCAAATATCCAAGTACAGTGCTGTCTAAACTTCTCCACTGGGAAATGCGCAAAAACCCTTCGTTTTATCAAGCTGCAAGGTCATAGAACGTTCCAAGTCGAGGCTGGGCATCTGTCGTTATTTTCTGCTGCATGGGAACTTTCTTTGTACACTTGGGTTCTGGCTTTGATGGCGATTAGGCGAGAGAAACCAGGTGCATCTATCAATTGTATACTGAGATTAATGTGGCTTAGCTTGAGGTAGATGGAATTTTGCAACTAATTATTCACTCTTATTTCGTCAATTATATTTCTAGTCTTTGACGTCTCCTCATTATATATAGTATTATCTATAAGCCCAGAGTACTGATCAAGGCAAAAGTTTAGCTTCAAACTACTCTACCAACGAGGGATAGAAAATGCAGACAGCGAATCTATCGGATGCTCATGTAAAATTTTACAGTGATGCTGATTGATAATTATTCACATCAACTATTGAGATAATCAACTCTATTCTATGGACTTTCATCTGGTTTCAATACTCAACAAATCCAGCAAACACAAAAATTGAACAACAACAACAACAACCCCACCATTAAGAATTAGCTCATCTATCTTAGCTAATTTATCCATCAAGAACCCCAACATCCACACAAAAATCCTAAACACCCTACAAGTTCCCCAAGTCTAGAATATAAGACTATCTAAAATCACTTACTTCAAACTCCACCACTCGCGTATCTCTCACGATTAGCAGACATATTAATGGCCGCATTCAATCCCGAAGACTTCAATCTCAAGTAGACCCAAGAATCACGAGAGAAAAACGATCATAGATATAAGCCCTTTTATTCCTATTCCCAATTACAATTCAGCAAACAAACACACCCGACTGATTATGAAAATGAAGAAAGCCGAGAACTTAAACGCCAAAGACTCACCATTTCTCTAAACCCAAGTCCTTATCTGACATATGGCATCACACACCACAACAACAACTTTAATAAAGTAAGGAATCACAAAACATAATATCCCAGATTTCTAATTCTAATTCTAGTCCTGGTGTTGACTTGCATTTGAAGTCTACACCATATCCTGTAATTAGATTATCTAATCTAATCTCATCTCATCAAGTAATTATTCTAACCCTCACTCCACCCCATCTCTTCAATTTTAGCCCAATCTCAAAATACCCAAGTCATAAATTAACAATAACGAACCCCCTCCCCTTCCCTCCTCTTCTCTCAATACTCCCAAAACTTCAAGTTCCACACACCCGTCCCATTAAATAAACACAATACCCATAAACCACAAATACCCACCCATCAAAACCCTTTTTCACACCAAGTCAATATCTAACTAATTACAAAAATCCAGCCAGCTGAATCTAGCCAAAACGATCAACACCCACTAATTGCATAAACTCTTCAGGAACCCCTCAAAACCCTCTCCACCCCAAAAACCATAGCCTGAGCTAATGTTAAATTCTTAGCTGAGTATTATTATTATTACTTATCATACATGCATATATCCATCCGGTGGTTTCAATACATATGTATGTCTGTTTAAAAAATTCGGCTGAAATATTCTCAGGCGGAGAGGAGGTAAGCATAAGCGTAAGCGAGATGAGGGGGAAAGGGATAGGAGGAAGTTATTTAAAATGTATGTTTGTATGATTCAGAAGAGGGGCATATTTGTGGCTGCGTAATTAATTTCTAGTAAAAGTGATAAGAAAGCCTTTTCATTTCAAAAGAGTCAAAGTAAATACCGAGTAGCAAAAAGCTTATTGTGGGGTATCACAGAGCTTGCGCTAATATACACCAACGGAGTGAATAGTCTTTTATCGTATCATAATTGCTGAAAACTACAACACCAAATCCAAGCCATTGATCATTGCTTCATGCGTATATAAAACAAAACATCGCCCGTATAATCCTACCAAGATGTCTATTTCAAAAATTCGCAATGATATCGAAAACTCCACGCAATCCAGGGCACCCCGTGCACCAGAAGATCAAAACCATCCAAAAACAGCCAATCCAACCACCACCACTGGTACCCAGCCCATACTCCCTGTTCCCTCCTTGAAACCCATCGTCCCCGCATTCGTATTATTTATCAATACCGCCGGAGTCCCCGTAATGTTAACTCCCTCATCCACCCCACAAACAACTTTACAACCCTTACTCTTCCTCTTTTCCAGCTCCCTCTTACTCCCAGCATAGTCGCCACTAGTATTATACACCAATTCAATCCATTGAACCTGTAAGAACGCCTCATCATAGAGGCTCATATTCCCTGTCCATTCTCCTCCATCACTCCACATATTCAATATCAATCCGCTCGGAGATTTCGGGACTTGGTATGAGATATTCGCAACACTTTCGCCGTTTACATACCAGGATGTTTGTTTCGGCATCCAATCCATTCGATATGTATTCCAGACACTCCAATCCATAGTTCCGCCAGCAGTACTGGCATTAGATGTAGCTCGTGGATCTGCGTCCCCTGCTTTGTTGACGGAAGGTTGATTCGTGTACTGGACTACATTTCGTGGGCCGGAGGTGAGAATTTCAATGTCGGATTCTTGGATGGGGTTGGAGTCTAGATAGGTGAACATTCCCGCACATGCTCCATCTGAGCCAACAACCCGGGCTAAGAATCGTGCGGACAGATATTTGAAATTCTTTTCGTTCGAGTCAAATTCCGCAACGGATTGGAAATTTGGGAGGCGGGCTGTGCGAAGGGTGAGGTAGGTGTCGTACGATGTGACATTGTCGGTCGAGGTTTCTGAAGTTATAATGTTAGTACGTCCACTGACAGATAGGGTGGACAGAATTTGAGGACGTACCAATATATACATTATTTGGTGAATTGATCATCAACACACTACTTCCACTTTCCACCATAGTATCACTATTATTCCAAATCTGTGTCGACCAATCATTATTCCATGCTTGTCCCGTAAAGAAATCCGATGTTGCAAATGCATTTGATGTATCACTCTCATTTGCAATCAAGTCCGGAACCGTCTGCGAAGCTGCGGCCACGGTTCTAAAGTCGTGAAATCTATGATATGTGAAATATCCCGAAGAGGCACTATCTGTTCGAAAACATGAGCATTCTTCGCCATTGTCTTTTTGTGCGAGGACTTTCAGGGTCGTGAATAATAGGGCCAGAGGAGTGGGCGGTAATGAGAATATCTTCATTCTAGAGGATTTGCTGGCCGAGGCCTGATATATGTATTGATGGCCGTGTCGTAAAAGATATGATGCGGTAGAACTGCTGCAAATGTGGTGTATTGAAAATCAATCTGAAATGAAGGACAGGTTTCACGATACAATGAGTGATAAATTCACCAACTCATATGCATAATCAAAATAAGATATAACCAATTGTTATAACAACGAAGAGAAGAGGTTGACCGACCGAGTACATAAGCTACCGAAAGAATGGAAACAATTAATACAACTTAAATATCGAAAAAAAGACAGGAGATGAAGATATAAAACTTCAAACCCCCGATCTTTCCTCGTATTCAGATTTAGTACGAGCATCGTCGCACATTTCACGTCTTGGTGTTTCTGCACGTTTGTTTTCTCATTTGGAAGTTGTTTGGGGTAAAAGCTGAGATGGAAATTGAAACGAGCGGCTGTTACGCGATAGGGAAGGTTAAAGCCTGGAAGGGGCCTGTGGGCAAGCTGGCTGAGGCGCAGTTAGGCCCCTGTAAGCGCTAAATGGGGGGGCAGATCAAACTCCACCTTTATAGGGATGGGTGGACTTAGGGTTGATTCTGGAGTGGAGGATAACTTTATTCTGACAACGCATCATCATTGTGAGATTGTCTATTTGTAGGACAATGAGTCTCTGACTTTGGTAGCTATTGTTATTGCCTTAAAAGTATGAAGCAAGTAGCTTTAGCCAGAGCCTGGCAAATACAGCAAACCAAGTACTGTCTGTGGAACATCTCGCGTATTGTAAGATCTTACACTTGTCGCCTTCTCAAGCATTTCACATCAGGAAATTATAGTCACCCATGTCGCACGATAATACATGGAATGATATATGATTTGAATTTGAGTTTAAAGTTATTCTCCCTCATATCCTTAATCTTCTCCGGAAGGTATGTCCGCTTCTATTTCTCGCCTCAGCCATTCTGGAACAGGTGGCATAATACCAGTATCCCTCTTCACCTGAAAAGCCTCTTGCAAAGCCGTTATCCTTGGTCCAAGTGTCCAGAGAACCACCTCGTACTCTACAATACCAGAGCGACCTTCTTGATTCGGTCTATGTGTCCCTCCGCATTCCCAGTGGAAGGTCTCACCCATGATATAGTTTCTCCGCTGATAGATTGCCTCTTCCACGTCGTCGACACGGATGTCGCAATGTACACCAAAAAGAGGAATAAGATGTAAATAACAGTTCGTATCAGCTCTTTCGTGGGGTCCCAGTTTCCTCCGTGTGAAAAATTGAGCTTGTTTCCTGTTTCCTTCTTCGTCCACGGCGGTTATTTGTATTATGTAAGGAATATCGGTATAGAAACTTGCAAGAGTTAGAGAGTTCATGACTGCAAAAGTGTTTCTGTTGATGGCTTCAAAGAAATCTGCAAGTTCCGAAGGTAGATTTAAGTAGAATGGTTTGGGTCTAAGGAAGGTGCAACAGGTTGCAAAGGTATTGCGGCTGGTAACTGCCTCGACATCATCTTTAGTAGGTGCCATGATCTACGTAAGCTTTGGGAATTTAATGATGCGGCTAATAGTTTAAATACTTTTTCTGTTGAGCAGAGCCGGGTCACTGATACGGCACGAGACCGTATTGGGAATGCAGTAATAGCTCTATTCTTGCACCCATCAGCTTTAGCGCCTTTAGTCAAATCAACACTACGCTTCCTAGTCCCAGAAGAGTGACAGAATACCATGTCACCATATTACTACGGCTATATTCTTAATGTTTTCCTTCTTTCTACAGCTGTTTGTCCTATCATGCCACATAATTTCCGGTCATGCTGCCCTATCTATCATCTGTCTTTACAATGAGTATAAGGAAAGTTTAGCAGTCATACGAAAATCGCAAAGGACGTCCATTACGAGTCAAACAAAATACCCTCACGTGATATCCCTCCATTTCTTACACGTCCTGGCACCCGATAACCCTGACATAGCATCAAATATCAAAAGTCTCTCTCTCAACACCAAATCAGCGCTTCCAAACGCAAGGATCATAATACAATCCACCAGCGCGACACTAATCCACCAGTGCAATACTCATCCACATGATTCCCGCACTCCCAAAAGTACAGCGGTATTTTGTAATAATTTGAATAAATCTGCCGAGTCTCCAGGGAATCCATGATTTCTGCGCCGAAGGAGTGAATTAGCTCTGTGATTATAAGATTAATTTGAGGTGTATTCGGGGTTTCATGGATGTGCAGCAGGTTGAGAAGGTTGTCTTGGTGGAGGATTCATGACATATAGAATTTCTTGAGAAATGGATGGGTTGAAGAAGTCGGTGGATTCAGAGAGCTTACACTTCTAGGGCGGGAGTAGAATTTGACAGAAATTGGTTGTTTTGATCAAGCTAGGAAAGTTCCTAAATGTTCCATTCTTTTGTTGCTTCCAGGCACATTTGCCTTTATAATATTTAACAGCCAAGCTTTGTTATTTATAAAATTCTGGGCAGTCTTAGGACAAATGAGCAAGAAGGTGAGGTCGAAGTGCGCCGCAAAGATCATTAGACGTGAACTAAAAGTTTGCTCGAACTAGAATCAGGGTCAGAACTAGACAGCAGGTATTACCACGTGAAAAACCACGAGATCGGAGCTAATTCCAGGCTTTTAGGGTTCAGGCATCGCTCCATCCAACAAAGGTTTATCGCGGCTATTTACCGAGTAGCATTGTGGTAATAACTATTTCAAATACTACAGGATTATGTCTCACCAAAATGCAAATGAAGATGAAAGAAGAAGCTCATTCGCCTGTTGCCCAGTAAAACAATCCATCATAGTACCTATAGAGCTTAGTAAATTTTTCGGGTCTGGGATACCTTTTTTCGTGTAAAAGGCCTGGTACCTTGGCAAGCACTGTGGTTTGAGAAGAAAATTCTCTCTTGTTTGATACATGCCATTTTTCTGCGTCGGCGACGCTCAAAGAGTAATTAATATAGACCAACTCCCCGTTGAATTCGAATCTAGCGAGGTTCAATGTCGTCGGGAGAGTGCTTACACTACAGACTAATCAACAGTTATGATAGAAGCATTGAGCTAGATTTTGATGCCTATGGTTAGTTTATTTGCGTACGGCATACTCAAGGGAGCGTGTGCTTCTTTAATCCTGCGAGATCGAGTCTGCTGTACTAAAAGCTAAACTCCTGAGCACACGGTTTATGTATTGATTATTTATTAATGCTAAGTAATTGAGCGGATAGACCATACATAAGGTATGGAAGCCTAGCGCCTCGCCAGTGCGTACGGTTGTATTCCTTGATCCCATGCTGTTAAATACAGTACTGCAGTTGACATTTGTATTTCTAGTTTGGTGTAGTTTTCCAGTTGTATCAACTGATGATTTCAAGACACCTCATAAGTGAATTTCCCCGACCTACAACCCTGAGAACCCTTCAAAAAATATCAGATAGAGTACCTCTATCACCCAATAGCGATAGCCAAAAAAAGATACATTCAAAGATTGCCGTTTGTTTATTTGCTCGGAAATCACAACAATATAATTTTTTGTTCAAGGTCGAATTCCAGGATAAGCTCCGAAGGAAAATCACTTGCACTCTTTGAAAGGACCAAAGACATGAGTGAGATCATTGTTGTTGAAAACGATGCTAAAGCTTCGGAATTTTTGAGTAATTTCCATTTGCTCAATCTACCGGACAGTAGGTCTCTGAACTCATCCTTCGTTTGATGACCAATATTGTACTAACGGACCTTTCTTGTTAGATGTTCTTAAAATGATCCTCCGAATGCTTTTCCTCCGGCCTGCACCTCTCATTCCTTCAAACTTTCAGTCCAAGAATACCGCCAACGAAAAGCCAACGGTCCATTATGGTTATCAGTGGGCCAACACCCGTCGTCATCTGTATGAGGAGGGGAAACTACCACAAGTCGATCACGTCCAGATTTTAACTTTGGCTTGGACATCAAATCCTACCGATGCTGAAAGTAAAAAAATAGCCCGAGGCCCGACTAAACTAAGCGATATTGTTCGTCTAGGCGGCAAAAAAGAGAAAAGATCAATTCACGTGCGCAAAGACTTCGGGCCTCAGATTATTCACAAGAAAGCCGCGATTCTGACTGGTATTGAAGGAATTCCTCTATTGCGATCATGTAAGCGGATTTCAACGCTTGGTTCGGCAGTGTTATATGGTGAGAATACTTTCGTGTTCGACACCCGAGGCGGTCGCGAGTCACCAGGCCTCCATCCTGCAAACCATCTTCGCAGAAACTCTCTAGATATCCCTGGACTTTCAGGTGAAGGTGGAATGCCGCAAACAACAGGTCAGACGCGCAATGCGATAGAGAATATGTTCGATCGCTACCATTCTCACGCTGAGTTCATAATCACTAATCCGCTTACGAGGTTTTTCCTCGAAATTGGCAGATCTAACGCTAGCAACATTACCAACGTAGTGCTTCACGGCCACTTTCATTCTCGTAGGAACAAATATCGGGAAATGTTGAGCTTCGAACAGATTTTGCCAATTCAAACAGTCATTCTTAGTGACGTGTGTAAGAAGCTGAATAAGGTCACGTTACATGATGATGACCGTGGCCGCGACCACCATCCTTATTTTAATGAAAGACGGTCAATTGAGAAGAAAAGAGCAATTGATTTCAGTGAGATAATCGATGGCGCGGTGCAAAAGCTAGTCGAGGGTTTGCCGATGATGCAGGAGCTTCAGCTTGGCGACTATCGCTACGTGCCCAAAAATTGTGGCTATGACGTTGGAGTTCGTGGAAGTAGTTTTAACGCAGCTATTCAGCCCGATGATGGATGGAAATCATCATTACAATGGATGAATCGCGTTGAGAAGCGAGCCAGGCGTCAAGCACCACTTGCAGCGAGGGCTGGTACAAAGTCGAAGCATTCAAGGCGCAAGAGGGTAACATTCCCTCTATGATTGTTTTTGTATGGAGATGGACAAATATCAGACGACTATAGGTTGAAAGAAAAAGAGTGGTTTTATATTCTAATTCCATGCCGGCCAGTCACCAGGATGGTTGCGAAATAGATATGCATGGGCGAGAGGATCTAATTTCTGAAGAATTAGCTCTACACAAGGAAACGGACATTAAAATGCAAAGAAGCGAGCCACATACTTCATAACTACAGATATTGATCACATTTAATATTCTCAGGCAGCCCGGTATAAATTCTTAATATTCTCTGTTCCTTCTGCAAGCATATAGTTCTTATATTGGTCAACCATGGGCCATTTACCAGTTGAGCTTCGAATACTAGCCTGTTGATGAACTTGGTTTTGAGATTGAGACTTGTAAATAGTCATCACAGCGAAAGATAATTTGGTCATTTGACATGTTCTCAAATATTGAAAGGTAAAATGATGATTCGACGTCTAGAAAGACCATACTCGTATATTTCCCACTGATGCAATCTCACAAATTATGCTTCGTCTTCCTCAATAAATGCTTGTTAACTGGTGTCAACGGTGCCTTCCCCTTTAGGACCGCGTCAATATTTTTCATTGATATCTCTTCGAATCCAATGTGCCTAAGAAATTGTCAGCGAGTATTAGCTGTGTTCGGTTAAAAGAACATACGTTTCAAGTGTTCCGCCAGCATTATGGCTTGTAAGTGTAACATTTCTCGAAGCCTTTAACCTATCATTTACCCTAGGTTCATGTTCATGAACATCCAATCCTACACCCACCAACTTTCCTGACTGCACAGCGTCGGCTAGTGCTTCCTCATCCACCAAGGTACCTCTCGCAATATTCACAAATCGACTCTTTTCCTTGAATTTACTCAATCTTTGACGATCTAGAAACTTTTTCCCATCGGGAGAAGCAGGCGTAGCGAGAACTACACAATCGCTAAGTGCCAACATCTCATCTATATTGGTAAAGAATTGTGCTCCAATGTCTGCTTCTTGGAGGGAAGGCTTTCGTACAATATCATAGTAAAGGATTTTCATCCCGAAAGCCAGGTGAGCTTTGCGGGCGATGCTATAACCAATGTTTCCGAGGCCAACAATACCAAGCGTATGACCACGAGGATTATGAGACATAATTGCGGCGTTAGTGTGGCAGTCCTGGAATGATGCTGCTCCTGAACGAGCAGCTTGCGTGCACCTGGCTGATATTAGTGTACTTAACTTGAACAAAGAGGGAGATGAAGATCCCACCATGTGAGGTTTCTAAATGTAGCTAGAATAAGGAAGATTGCAAAGTCTGCGACGGATTCGGCAGAAGCTATAGCACTATAGTTACATCAGTCTCATGCGCATGGAAGTCCAGAAGTTCGTCCATACCTGTTACAATACACGATGCCTATCCAGAACACAAATCAGCAACAAAATACTACCATTTCTCATACAGGCCTTCATACCTCGCTCTGCTAGAAGATCAACATCAGCCCAATCGAACCCTGCTCCAGCAGATGCAAATATTTGGCACGTTTCCGGTATCAAGGGAATGAGCTCCGCATCCCACCTTCCCATCTCACCACCAGTATTCCAAAATGGTCTGAAAATGGCGGAAAAGTTACCCCATCTGTTCTCTTTCAGTGCCTTAATAAATTCATCTCGCTGGCGCTCTTCTGTCGAAGGTCTTATGATTGTGAAGTCTTTCGCAAATTGAGCATATAAATCGAGGTTCCATTTTACAGGATCTCCAATGTGCAAAACAATTGGTTTTTCCTTGATCGTAGCCATGATTTCGTGATAAAAACACAAACTGATGTTGAATTCAAAGAAACTTGGGGTGAGCTTGATGAAGAAGGATAATCAAATGGTTGCACAAAACAGAGAAGTAGAATGACCAAGGCTCCCAACCACTTGAGGGGCCCATGGTGGCTTAAAATGAAGCCTATAGCTATGGACGATGATAATCGAACCTTGTCACTGCATATTCACTGCATATGCGACGATCCATGCTATAACACATAGCCGCCCAGCTTTGTGTAGACTGTCACCCACCTCTTCTTTCTCAAAGCCAATCATCGTTATCGCCGAGCTCTTGAAGCAATCAATAAGTCTCGTATTTTATTGTTGAGATACATATCTTGCTGCAAAAGTATTGATGACATTGGTTGGATGGGAGCACGTCGTCAAAAGAGCGAAGGAAATGGATGCCTCAATATCAAGGTTAGAGACCTAATAGAAATTATCTGTAGGAACCTCATCGGCTTAGTTATTTAGGTTATCAATGGAGTGGACAATAACGTTATCTGTGTATATTGATTCTATTCAATATACGAAGTGTATAAAATCTCTGATCTGGACCGATGTAGTGTTTGCTTATTCAGCAAATCATAGATTCGGCTCCGGAACCTTTCGGACAAGTCTTGCAAGACTATGAAATACATATACATACACAGTTTCGTAATATCTCATCCGTCTTCTACTTAATCACCTTCCCAATCATTACGTATAAAGTTCTCTTACCACATGAACATGGCATCTACGATTAAGCCTGGACTTCCAACTTTCCACCACCTCGACGTAAGTGGGGCGACCATGCCATCGGATCCAACTCTTAGACCCAGCATCACCCCGCCTCACCCACATATACTGACAGCACCGCTCATATAGAATTCCCAATCTCAACGAGTTCTCTGGTTCCTCGAAGAACTAGGAATCGAATACAACCTCGTATGCCATAAACGCATTGAAGGTCGCGCGCCACCCGAGCTCAAAAATGTACATCCTATGGGAAAAGCCCCCGTCCTTGTCACATCCGACAACAGACCCATTGTAGAAAGTAGTGCAATCCTTGGATATCTGATCGATACATACGATAAGGAGGGAAGATTTGCGGCGCAAGATAAAGTGCGCGATGAGATTTTGACTTCGTTTGCTGGATCGACTATTGGAACCATTTCAGTGGTTGAATTGATATTTGATATTGTGGCACAGAAATCTCCGTGGCCATTATCGATATTGATGGGCGGTGTCAAGTCAAATATACATAAGAGTTTCACGGGGCCGGAATATGCAACACAGTTTGAATACTTGGAGAAAGAATTGACAGATGAATGGTTCAATGGGAAGAATCTAGGACGGCCAGATGTGATGTTGAGTTGGCCTGTGGACTTTTTGGCCGCGAAGAAGTATGTAGACTTTGAGAAATACCCGAAGATTCTGCAGTGGAGGAATAGGATACAAAACAGAGATGCTTGGAAGAGGGCGTTGGAAAAGGGTAATGGGTATGATCTGATGAAGGTGTAAAGGGGGGAAGTGCGTAGTGTTTTCCCGGGTTTCAATGTAAGAGCAGCGAGTATTTCTTTCCGTAAGGATGTGTCGTTATGTCAAATCTAATACGGCATGGATGTTAGTACGTTCGATGCTTATTGTACTTCTTTGTAACATTTGTCGAAATACATTTATCACAGCAACTCAATTTGGTGCCATGCATTTGTTTGTCTGATGTCATGCTAGCAATGGAAGGGAAGTTGAGGCTAAATAAGCCAAGTGAGGGCATCAGAGATTCGTTTACCCTGTCAAACTTTCTGAAATATCATATCGTTTGTCAGGGACCATTATCGGGCGGGCACATGATTTTCACGTTGACTTCATCAATGGCGAATTTGTGGGCGCGAGGAGCAAGGCAACAGTTTGCATGACTGATTATTATGGAAAATGAGATTATTCCCTATTTACGATGAGTTTCAGACCTCGAAAGCGGAGTTGATCCAAATGATCCAAATAACTGTCGAGGACCTGGCCCCGCATTTAGTCTGTAACCCTGTGTTCCGCACTCGGCCTGTGTATCCTCCTGGCTCGTCCTTCAGGCTCATGATATTTATCAAAGTGGCACCATTCCACCCAGTGACAATACTTGTGGTCTTCTTGCTGTAATTATGTAGTCTCCTAGAATACCGGCTCGGAACCCCGCCTCAGAGTAACTGAAGTAATACTAACGGGAGATCAATAACGACAATCGAACGGAACATTTTGGCAACTACTTACAATCCATCTTCTTCGAAGAGCTTCGAGATCCAGAGCCGTCATATTTCCTCTTTCTTTTACATAGAGCGACTTTGTGGTTTCCCAATTGGCGAGAAAATTCTCTCTCCAGAGACGCAATGTCCGCGCATAATGAGGGCCTATACCCTGTACACTTTCAAGCTCCAGAGATCCTGCAGACCCTGTATCGAGACGTTCAATGAGCTCTCTTACGCATGGCAGATATCCTCCTGGAAAGATATAGCGATCAATAAATGTGTCGACCTTAGATCGAGTTTGGTGAAAACGCTACGAAATTGTCAGTGGTTTGTATAGTGGTAAAATAAAATCCTTCGAGCATTGGAAGATTATGGCATATTTGTCAGACTGTTTCGATCTCAGGAAAACAGCTTGGAGAACTCACCTGGTTGTTGATGGTTATCCCTTGAATCACCATTATTCCATGCTCTGGGTTCAATAACCTGCTAATCTCCCTGAAATAGATTTCCATATACTCCTTCCCAACATGCTCCAACATCTCGACACTGATGACTCTATCAAATCCTGCTGGACTGGGCTTAGGGATTTCCCTATAGTCGCAAAGCAATATCTCGATTCGATCTTTCAACCCAGCCTCTTCAATCCTTTTCTCACATAGAGTCTTTTGCTCTACTGAGAGTGTTACGATCGTAACTCTACAACCGGTTTTTTTCACAGCTTCAATAGCCAGAAATGCCCATCCGCCTCCAATATCGAGGATGTGATGTTCTGGCTCAATGCATGCTTTGTCAATAATATTATGCACTTTTCTTCTCTGTGCTTCTTCGAGAGTTTCTTCTTTGCCTGTAGTATCCCATATGGCGCATGAGTAACTCATGTCTGTTGATAGAAAAGAAGAGAAGAGTGCGTTCGAGGTATCGTAGTGGGATGAAGCATTTTGGAGAGCGCGTTTACTGTCATTTGAGGGATTGAAGAGAATCTTTTGAAGACGGGGAATTATTTGCAGGAAAATGTTACCAGTTCCGAAGAGTGCGAAATTTTGAATGTATATCTATCATTCGACGTCGTCAGTATCTGAAAGGGTAAGAACTATCGGGATGAAAGTACGGAGAACGTACGGAGACGAGAGCCACTAGATCATCGCATTCCAACTCTCCCAGCATATAAGCTTCGGAAAACCCCTACATCATTTAGTCAGTGTTTTCGACAAAGCCAAATGATCTCTGAAGCTCACCAAGTCGACATTAATTGACATTCTAGTCCAAACATTCGGACTATTAACAGTAATCGAGCAGACAGGTTGAGATGAGTCTTTCAAAGATGAGTTACCAAAGACTTGTGGTTCTGTCTCACCACGATCTTTCATCGTCATATCCAATCGTCCATATTCGATCTTCGAGAGTATGTTGAGAATATAGGAACGAGTGAACGATGAAAGATAGGAAGGAATTGAGTTTCCCATTATTTTTGATATTCAAATTAGATGATTGATTCAGAGAACCACGTTGTCAACGTACGATCAGGAGAGAAAGTAAAATAAGGCAAGATATTTTGAGTGGGTGGTACTTCCCGTAACCCCTCATGAGAAAAAATTCCGAGATGGGCATCTTGCATAAACGGGATGTATAATGCTTACATACAACATGCGTGCTTGTGCGACACGGTACCGGCACATTTATTGAATAATCAATATTTCGATCTGTTGCAGATGCGAGATCGACCGTGCTGACGATCATGCTTTTGCCGAGTAAGCACTTGACTTGGTTGGGAACTATATACTTTGTTTCAGCTTACTTTGAAGTCTTAAAGTAGTATCAAATCCCTTTCTCATGGTAAATAGACTACTCAGAAGCGGGATGGGAAAGCTTACTATGGATAAACAAGGTAATGATGACACAACTTGGAAACTCTCCCGAAAATCATCAATTCTTCAACTCAAGATTCCTGTCTAGGAAAGTTCCATCTAAAAGCGAGAAATGCATTGATGACATACTCATGTAACAAATGCAGAGACATACCCACAGTGTTTTGAACTTATTTTCGTGACATGTGCTTTCGAAAACACGGTTATTTCAATCCCCGCAAAAGTTTCCTTTGACCCAGTCTTACCTGTCTTTGCATCTACGTTTTCATTATTCTCCCAGCGATCGTCACTTCTCTGGAGGCAACAAGTAGTCAAGCATATTGGTCCCGCTCTGGTTTTCTTTCTCTTCACACAAAGTTGCGCAGCCGGCCTATGGAGGATTTTCAAAGACTCTGGTATAAGGTTTGTTTGTTATTGGCAATTGCCACGGGTATTTTTTTACTGTGGTGAGTTTGTTGTGCGTGCTGGCCCAAAACGTTCGGTGGCTGAAAGGAAGGGGAGTAGTACGTCTTCCCGGTTAAATTAGTTGATGGAAGTTCAGGGAATGCTAATAGGGACTCTAGTCTCAAGGACTCGGACCCGCGGGAATCAATGTGATGATTGATATTATCATGGCCGATTTGATATCTCTAGAATCAGCGTGGGAAGTATATGGGCATGGTTCAGTTTTCCCACCGGCGGCTGCAGCAGGAGGTAAAGCCACGCCTGCCATCAAACGTTTCAAGTAGATAAAGGTCTTCGTATCCATATTCACGACCACCGGGCTCGCACTTATGTCTCGTCTAGACGTCCATCCAAACCATGCGTCTAAAATTGGTTTCCGAATTATCTCAGCTATTGATGAAGGCATTTTATCTCCAGGAAGGTTATAGGCAGTACAAGCACCGCAGAAATTGGTGAGTTTCTTCACCACTTTTAGAGAGGCTCTGGGGTTGCCATTGGGAATTTGTTGTTTCAAAACAGATGGGAGATGTAGTTGAAAATAAATGGCAAGAAGGGATTGATGGTGTGAGGCAAGATGATTAACAGTATTGGGAAGCTTGTTTAAGGATTTCCCGCAACTGTGTGTAACGATCTGGTTGAGGCAGCGGCTGCCTCAGGGTTTCGTCTGGTTGGTAGTTGTAGGTTAAGGCTAATAATCACTGGTTATCCACTCGAAGGTGAATACGTTACTAGATCAATTGGAATGTAGGTAAACTAATTGATAACTAAGTTGAGCACGAAGCTCCTAAACTATGAAACTATTCTGACTATATACTAATGAATGTAAAGGAGCTCTGTGGAGCCCTAGAGCTCCAAAGCTCCTGGAGCTCCTTATCACGTGATTAGGATCAGACTATATGTCCGAGCTTGCTAAAGGTGGGGAGACCACATGAGGCGATTACCATACAAATTTGTATACAAATCGCCCTGCTTTTCGATAAGGCCTAAGCTCATGTGGACAAGTTGACTGTTGCCTCTCAACACACCATAATCTTAATCGTAAATCGTGACATCGACATATGAATCACCGACATCAATAATACTACTATAATCTAAACCGTGAATCGTGACAGGGGCGCAGGCCCCTGGTATAATATTATTAATATAATCAAATTTATTATAATTATAATTTAATTTTTTAATTTAATTTATATAATTAATATTTTTACATTTATTAAATCTTATTTATTAATAATTATGATTATGAAAAACATTTTATTTTAATTTACTTTTTAATATATATAATATTAATTATAAGATATAGATATTAAATTATATTATATAATTATTAATTGATTAATTTATCAACTTGATTATTTTAATAATATTTATTTGAATTAGAGTACTTGAATTATTTATAATTACATCCACATCGACATGAACAAGAACCGCAATATTTTATCAGATCAGATCATATTATATCATTTTACTACAGAGGTAAAAATCCATAACTCTCTCTACCTCTCTCTACCTCTCTATTCTTCCTTTTACCACACCACACCACACCACGCCACATGACATCTCTTCTTCTAGCAATTATCACAGCCAGCCTATTGCCATGCTATAGTTATAGAGACAAAATTCCTCCCTTGTATAAAACCTATCCTTGCCTCCCTATACCTTCCCGAACAGACCCTCTTACAAACCCCGCCAACCCAGCCAATTCTGCCCATTCCCCGCACAGCACCTTCTACCACAAAAAAGCAAAGCAAAGAGCAAACTCCGTCACAAACCTATCCATCCATTGCATCATAAATATAAAAACCCACATATATGTATGCGATCACCTCACTCCCATTCACTAGACCACACACCTCTAATCTCTTAATGCAAATCTTGCTACCAAACGGAAATCAAAACATGTTAGCAATTCCACACCAAAGCCATTCCGATCCCATCCATCGATCCATGCATGATGAAAAGAAAACAAATAATACATCTCATGGGAAATCGGAATCCTCTACACCGTTACAAAACATCATTTAGATGTTTAGATTATTGAACCCCTTACCAAGAAACGCCTTCAATCCATGAAGTAGCCATATATGAAAAGGAAACACCGCGTGAATGCTACCGGCCAGCGCCCAATGTGCTCTATATGTTCTTTCGCCATTAAAACTTCTTATGACGTCTTCTATGCGCCAACCAGGACCACTTTTGGAAAAATATCGGAACCACCACCAAATCATTAATCAAGGCCCATCGAAGAATAACTCCATATTATCACCTCCTTCATCCCATTTCGTAGCTTCAGTTGCATCCTTGTCATCAATTGGTTTTCTATCAACCGATGACACCTCTTTATTCCCTGTAGACTCTTCATCACCATTCGTAAGTTCTCCAAACATCTTATCTCCCAAGATCTTATCTTCACCAGCAGTGACACCTAAAGGAGTTTGACCAACACTACTAACCCCCAAAGAGAAATTATCTCTCATTGGACTATTGAGCGATACAGAAGGATCCATCCTTGATAATCCAGCCTCACTGAAAATGTTCGGACGATGTGGGATGTATGACCAAATGTAGGTGTTCCAACCACACCACCATGCAAATAAGCATGTGGAGCAAAAGCTGGAGATGGATTTGTTGAAGCAGTCATACTAGTATACGAATCTTGCGAGTAAGTGGCATAAGGGTGCGCATGATCATGAGCACTTGGAATCCCACTCAAAACCGGTCCATGAGGACCCATACTTGGACCAGAACTAGATGCAAAACTATGAGCCGTGGGGGTTCCAGGCTGTGATCTTCCTGGGGCAGGTTGCAAAGGCATGGGTCGACTTCCACTAGGTTCACTGCTCTTTCTTTTAAAGTTGTGAGGTTTGGTCCTTAAATTTTGTGGTAAAGCTTCTGGATCATCAACCCCATGTTGCGCCATTAACTTTTGAAGTTTGGTTGGTCTAGGCTTTCGTGTTGATTTCGAGGATTCAAGGACTGGCGGAGGTTCTGGTGCTACTGGTGACCATTTATGAAGTTCTTGTCTGAAGAAATTGGTTTCATATGCAAGAAGTATTTCTGAACCTTCAATCTTTCGTAGATAAAAGCGTTGAGTTTCGGATTCGTCTGCTGTTGCCATGACTGGATTGCAAAATGGTGCAATGTGACTTCGGAATTCTTGGGCATTATTGATAATAGATTCAAGAATAGCTTCCTCATCAGGTTGAAATGGTAAAGACGGAATCTCATCTTGCCACGCTTGTAAATCCTCGAGTTTAGGCCTAGCTGCATCACGAGGTATACGCACACGCCAGTCACAAATTGGACAAGTATACTTCTCGTCATCCTTGACTTTTCCACGAGCAATCTTTAAACATTTACCATGGTACCTATTATTAATTAGTGAAACCCTACAAGATAGAGACGGAAGATCATACCACTCATGACAAAGCTCACACTCAATCATCATACCAGCTTCAACTCTTCGACAAATACAGAATACTTCTCGAAACCTTGGATCTTCCCAACTGTGAAGTTTGTCGTTTGAAGGAGAAGGTTCACGGGATAGTGGTTCGGCAGGAAGCCGCGGCTTATCTTGACTGATATCGAAACAATCAACATTTCGTTCCATGACATATTCCATATGTTGCTTGAGAATATGCAAGGGAGCATTTGCCTTGCCGAATAACTTCTTGCCTTTACGCATCCAATCTTCATGTCTTTTTATCTCTTTTTCCAAATCCAGAGTGCCACTTGGCTTGCTACCCAAACCTTGAAGTTCTTTTTGAAGTACGGCAACCTCTGCATAAGCTGGCCGTTTCATGTAGTCAGGATCCCTACATCTGTCGTACAGGGAAACGATCTGTTTGTGTACTTCTCGATGCTTGTTCAAGATTTGATCAACCTGAGCCAGTGTTTCTTGCGATACAGGCAATGAAGCAACTTGAGCTTGTTGAGATAAAGCCTCCAATTGTGGGTAGTGAACAGTCTCCGCACCAATGACTTCTTTGGCTTTCACTTCCCAATTCATACCAGCAGTTTTCTGTTCTTTGTAGTAGATCAAGTAATCGTTATAATCTGGCACCTGAAGTTTGGTAGCTTCGTCAATGATATCACCGACTTCCTTCAATGAGAGGAAGATTCCACGATTGTCACGAGCACGATCATTCCACTTCATTTGTTGAACTTCCTTCTCAAGCTTGTCAATTTCAGGCATATCCACATTGAACCCACGCCCTACTTCAAGAAGTTCTTCAAATTCATTGGTACGTCGTGAACTTGGGTGGGCTAGAGCAGCTCTAGCATCGGTTTGAAACTTCGTAATGGCATCGGCTCGCTCTCGTAGTTGATCGATTTCAGGACAATGGAATCCAATTCTATCGGCATCTTTCAGTAACTTGGTGATGTTTTCGAACTTTCGTAGTTCGCGATCTCTCTCCTCCATTTCCGCTGCCCTGCTCCCTTTACGCCAAGCTTTCTCGTTCTTTCTTCGATTCTGCTGTTTTCGAACGGTGTAATTTGTCGCTTCTTCCACCCATTCGTTACATCGATCAACAAATTTCTTCAACGAAGGGAGGGATGGTAAATCATACGGGATGCGCTCTCCTTCGTTTAGAAGGGTACGCAAAGTTTTCAGTGATGGAGTCGCATCTTCTTCAAGAAACTTTTCCACTTTCTCCTCCCAAATTTCAGGTAAGGCTGCTTTGTCAGCAACTTTTTGGTGCATGGTTGAAATGGCTTCTTCCGTACGACGATGGTGAAGGGTGTGGTTAGTGCCCGCAAATCTTTCTGCCTCAGGAGCATCACAACATTCATAAGCCCCTGCATGGAGCAGACACATGACTTTACCACTCTTATTACACTTAAACCTTGACATATATGCATATGCTTTGCAGTGCGTGCATTGATACTCTTCTTCCGGCACATCTTCTTCGTCGAGCTGGAATCCAATCTCACACCTAGAAGCAGCACCTTCAATGACATCAGTAATCACACAAGTGTGACCATCTCCCTTGTGTTTATCAATGAAATCTTTCTTTGTGAAACCTCTCGATCGCGAAGTCGTTCAAGAGCGGGAGCTAGCCATTTGGCTGTCTGGATGGTAACACCACCAGTTGCCGCACCCTCAGCCGCAGTCCATAAGAGTTCATCGTGGGAAAAGCATGGCTGCCTTCTGAATTGCTGAAGTCTTTCGACTCCAGAATCTCCAAATGGTTCCCAATCAGTAGGTGCAAAATTGACAGCTTCATTGAAATTAAATCCATGATTGAAACCAGCATGGTATGCTTGAGGGAATGTGATGACGAATTGACCAGCTCTTTGATCTAGAGCATATACCCTAACACCAGCTTTCTTTAATTGTTCTGGTGTTAAAAGTGTGACCAATTGGAACAATAAATCAGGTTGTGTTTCAAATAGTTCGGGAACAGCTTCTCGCATGGCGTCTTCGAACTTCTCGGCATCTTCCCCTGGAATTCCGTACCAGGTCTTTGTAGATCCAAAGTGTTGATAGTTTGCGGAATATGCGTAGTGGTCCTCATTGTGCCAACAGAAAGTCGAGAAGATCATGCCAACATAAAGCCAAGGTACAGTCATACCGGAGATATCCGATTTGATATGTCGGAATAGAGACTCTCCATGCAGGGGCATGATTGTCAAATTCCACGGATCGGTGGAATAAGGGTTTTGTGGTTGTCTCTCAATGGTCGGGAATCCACTTCCGTGTGTAGTTGAATGAATATCGGCACCGTATTCAACCTCGACAGTCTCCTCTAGGCTTGCAACCAATCGCCAGAACTCTCTTTCGATGTCATCTTCCGTAACAGGTCGTGGGCAATTGAGCACGGGATCGAATGGCATCTTATTTGGAAGTATCCTTCCTTGAAGTCTGCCGCCTTTTCTTGAAACTGCTTAAGTGAGTAGATTCCACCTTCTTCGAATCCGAATTGACCATCTCCAACTAAGCATCTAGGACAATGCCAATCGAAGTCTGGTTTGTGAGTAACAGGAGGGTCTAGACATTGCATATGATGACCATAATCGCACGATTCGCAAATCAGGATTTTATCAGCGTCATCGTTTCCACAAGTCTCACATTTCTGATTAAATT